CAGGGAGAACCCAGGAAACTATTTATATTTGTTATTTTTTTTAAAATTTTTGAAGGCCTCCAGAAATTCCAAAAATTTAAAAAAATATAAATATTTAAATTATTCGAATTTTTTAAATTATTTTTTTTTATTATTTTTTTTAAATATCCTGGAACTAGCCCAGGGAGAACCCAGGAAACTATTTATATTTTTTTATTTTTTTTTTTAAAATTTTTGCAGGCCTCCAGAAATTTAAAAAAACGAATATAAATGATTAAATTATTTGTTTTTTTCTTTAAATTAGTCGGTTTTTATTTTTTTTATTTTTTAAATTTTTGGAGGCCTTCAGAAAATTAAAAAAAAAGAATATAAATAATTAAATTATTTGATTTTTTCTTTAAATTAATTGATTTTTATTTATTTTTTAAATTTTTGGAGGCCTTCAGAAATTTTTTAAAAAAAAACTATTTAAATTATTTGAGTTGTTTTAAAAAAAAAAAACTATATATTTGATTTGTTTAACATTTTTTAAATATCCTGGAACTGGCCTAGGGAGAACCCAGGAAACTATCTATTTCTATTTTATTTAGAAAACATCAAAAAATGGAGGCCTCCAGAAATTTAAAAAAAAATCATTGTTTTTTTGATTTATTTATTTATTTATTTATTTATTTTAATATCCTGGAACTGGCCCAGGGAGAACCCGGGAAACTATTATTCAGGGCCTTGGGCGACACATAGGCCCAATTCTTCCCTCTTACCTCCCCCCCCCCCCGCCATCCCCCGCCCTCTGCCCTTCCCCGCCTGACATCCACTCAGACATGCTGATGGCATTGTTGAAGCCTCACTTGGTGGCCCTTGAGAAGCAAAGACTTCCGGGTTGATTAGCACGGCTCCAGCGTACCAGCAAAACCAAAACCTGGGCCCTCGGGAAAGCCGCCGGAAAGAAACGCGAGACCCAACGGGCCCCACCTTCCACCGTTCAAACAAGACAAACAAACAAAACAACCACCCATACTGGCGCCATGATTTTACCACTACCAAAGTCCCCCCCAGTGTGGTGGTTTACAGGGAAACCTCCCCAGTTTCTGACTTTCACGACCCCTAGAAATAGTCCTATATAACGACAAACCAACCCACCAAGCCATAGACGCACCGGGCAGCCATAGGTCGTAGTCAGCTTTTGCCACAGCCGGCCCATGGCCCAAGCCTCCACCAGGGCGTTGCCCAGCACCTCGTCCTCCCTCGGCACCTCGGAACTTTCTGGGCGAATTATACTATGGGTGTGGCTCAAAAATAAGAAAACGCGAGGGTTAGAAAGATTTTTAGTCTTTGATTCTAGTACTTCTTTTTGAGACGCATCACCAGCTATGTTCCTTTTCTTTTGGTGCTTAAAGGGTGGCAAGCCCATGGCTCCCTACTATACAGGCAAATGGATCCACGGAGAACGATAGTTCTTAGTCTTCCAAAACCCGACATGGCCCACTTCTACAAAGGAAGCAAACTCCATTGAGGAATCTTCTGACATGAATCGTTTCACCATCGAATCGCCCTTAACTTGCAGTGGTGTCTGCTGCACCCAGTTTGGTCTTTATTTAGATAGCATCTTTGCCATCCTGATGCCATAGTGCCGTGATCCCCCAAACATTGCGGGAGGCCCCGTCCTCCGCCAGCCGCAGGGCCTGCTGCCACTGCTGGGCGCGGCTGGCCGCCACCGCCAGCCCGGCGGCCACTGCGGGGTTGGCGTCTCCCCGCAGCAGGCGGCACGCCCAGCGCCAGGGCGCGAACGCCGCCGGCGTCGGAACCCGGCCGCCGAGTGTCGCGAGGTGAAGGGCGCGGGTCCACCTCTGCTGCTTGACGGCGCAGCTGATGCAGGTGCTGCAGGTGATGGCGTCGGGCCGCAGCTCGGACTCCTAGCGTCACACATGAGTCACGATCAAAACCCGGTACAAAAATAGTTCACCCAGAACCATGTAAAGAATTAAGAAGGCGGGCGCAGCTATTTATGGGTGGGATCGTCCCTTACTAACCTTCATCTACCGGGTTTTGATTGTGACTCAAATGGGAACCAACGAAAACGCGTGCATGTAGGACTGCGTCTGAAATGGACCGTTCTGCTCGGTGAGACTCTGGAAACGCGCACTACGGTATGGGATGTCCTGCAGCCGCTCGAGGGAGCGAGCTGAAAGCAGCCAATCTGCACTGTGCGTCGCTGCAATCACGGTGTTGAAGCTGATGACATCCCTTCGGATCTGCTCCCCTGGACACAAGGCCAAGCCTAGTATCACTCCTGCACACTCAAACTGGGCGGCTCTTCCCCTTGAGCAAATCTGACAACTTTTGCACGTTTGTGGAGAAGCAAACATTTTCCGCTAAGGTCACAAAGTCCAAAGTCCGCACCAGTGCCCAGCCTGACATCCGTTCCAGCAAGCCGACGCCCTCTTCCCACCGCGAGGCCTTCTCGCAAACGCTCAGCGCAAGGTTCCCATCCAGCGTGCATGACCACGCGGCCAGCAGCACCTCCCTCCAGCGGCCCTGCGCCCGGAAGATGTTCATGGAAAATTGCCGCTCCGCGGCCTCCAGGCGCATAGCACCAACCAACAAACAAGCAAACAAACAAACAAAACAAAACAAACAAAACAAAACAAACAAGTAAAACAGACAAAACAAACAAACAAACAAACAAACAAACAAACAAACAAACAAACAAAACAAAACAAAACAAAACGAAACAAACAAAACAAAACAAACAAACAAGTAAAACAGACCAAACAAACAGACAAACAAACAACCAAACAAACAAACAAAACAAACAAAACAAACAAAACAAACAAACAAACAAACAAACAAACAAACAAGTAAAACAGACAAAACAAACAAACAAACAAACAAACAAACAAACAAGTAAAACAGACAAAACAAACAAACAAACAAACAAACAAACAAACAAACAAACAAACAAACAAACAAACAAACAAACAAGTAAAACAAGCAAAACAAACAAACAAACAAACAAACAAACAAACAAACAAACAAACAAACAAACAAACAAACAATACAAGACAAGACAATACAATACAAACAAACAAACAGACGCACACATGCATTCCTCTCACAAACCCACATCCCCCCCCCAAACAAATCCATTCTTCCAGTCCTCCTTGAAGCGCACCACGCCCTTCGCCTCCGCCAGACCCTGGGTGCTTCGTTTCGAACGAACGGGCCGTCCCCGCCCACCCCCTCCCAGTGGCTCAAACATGCGTGTTGCTTCACGTGCACGGCTGTCCTTCCCCTTGAGGTTTTTGTTAAAAAAATGAGTTTTTTTTGGGGGGGGGCAGAATAACACAGAAACGAGTGTGGGTCCCCCGTTGGCGCTGATCAATCCCACGTGCCAAGGGGATTTCTCCATGGAGCAACCAACATGAAGTACATGTGCTGCCATTTCTTGAGGGTACCCTTTTGGTGGTTCGCTTTTTCAAGGAAACTGTCCCAGGGAAACCACCCCCCCATTTTTTGGCACCCTCAACCAAAAAAAAAAAGAAAAGGGGGGGGCGAGCTCGCCAGCCCCCCCTAAGCCCCCGGCCGCGAGGGTGGTGCTCCAGCGCCCCGCCAGGCTCCCGTAGCTGAACTCGTCCGGCCGCTGCGCCGTTCTCCGCGCAGCTCGCAGCAGGGCCAGGCCCAGGTCCCAGCGGCCCTTGCAGGCGCCCAGGCACCCGTTCCAGCAGAACCTAACTCCAAGTGAAAAGAAAACGAGAGCACGGGTTTTTGTTGGGGCCTGGAGGAGGGAGAGAAAAAAAAAAGAAAGAAAGCCAGTTGCAAGTTGCGCAAGGTTCCTGATCCAGGTGGTTTGCGGACCTTTTTTGCTCAAAGCTACGTGCCTAGATGCAGCTAAGTACAGCTTGCATGCAACTACATGCCCATCGCGCTGCAATCTTTCTCTGGGTCCTCGTCCCAGCACCTTTGAAACAGGCCGCAAATCTTCCTGCATTCTTGCGTGGAAGACGACCTCTTGGCATAGCCGTAGCTGCCTTTCTGGCACTTCCCCCAGGAGAGATCGCAAACACAGCACTTGTGCCCGGTCTTCTCATCCTCGGCCCCCTCTGACTTGTCCATCTTCTCCGAAGCTTCAGAAACAGCCTGCTGATGCACCTTGATGGTTTGACGGGTGCCAGTGGCGCACACAGCCAAGAGCATGATGCTCGCGATTCTCATGGGCGCAATGCGTGAAGAAAACTTGGCAAATCTACCTGACACTTTGCCTGCCACGAGCCCAAATAGCCCCTGGAGGAGAATGTGTCTTTCAGGTCTCTTTTAGGTTCAATGGGGGGGAGGGAACTCAAAACACTCAGGACCTAATGATTGCCTTGCTCAACCATGGTCACAGCTCGAAGCTTGCTGAGAGCTGCTACGGGCTCTGCAACACCAAAGCTTGGAAGCACAAGCGCAAGCGCTGCAAAACCTATCGGACCGAGGGCCTCATTGCTTCGGCAAGGGGCATATCGGGTTCACAGCCGCGGGCTTGCATGACCTGCAGCGTTTGCAACGCTGGCCGCCAGGCGCATTTGCAGATCGCTGCAGAGTAGTGGAACTTGTTGGGCTCTACGAGGTTCTCCCTGGGCCAAGCGCTGCGCCGAGCCCTTGTCTAAACATGCTTCTACACAACATAAACAACCTGCTCTTGGGCTTCCATGGGGCCATGAAACTTATGAATCTGTAAACTATCTCTGGGATTCCGTGGGACATGGCCTTTTGTTGCTTGCAACGTGGGCCATTTGTTGAAACCAATGCCCAACCCTCCACCCTGCCTGAGCCTTTGCAACACGGAGCCTTCCTTGGCCGTGGGCCGCGCCATCGCCGGAAAAGGCGGCGGGCCCGCGGCGGCGGGCCCCGGGTTGGCTCCATTGACGCCATGGCGGGTAGGGAGCTCTGTTCACATGAGCCAGGCTGACAGGTGGGTCCGTTGCTCTTCTGGCCACTGGCACAACCTCTCTCACTTGTGGTCGTTGGCTTTTGGGCCGGCCCTAGGCCCAAAATTGCGAGATGCGCGGCGGAGGCATGGCGCGACATGGCTTGGTGGGCTCAAGGGGCCAAAGCAAGCGCGACTGGGTGCATCCAGGCGTCAAGGGAGTCAGGTAGCCATGTTTCCAAGCAGATCCAAAGTAAACTCGGATGATGGACGCGATCATTGTCCTGAGTCCGGGTGACTTGCTGCAAGCACTGTAAGTGACTGTAAGCCGACCGGATGCTCAGGATTCCATGATTCTTTCTAAACTTCCCCCCCCCTCCCCTCCCCCTCCAACACAACACTCTGTATGTCTTGGCCTACTGAACCAGAAACTGCCTGAAACACTACCAGAACTTCTCACCTCGGCTGGCCGAGGCTTTGGCTGAATGGACACCACAGCGACGAAGGAGTTGCTGGCCATCCTGGCGAATTGTGCACGTCTAACACCTCCGACCCCGCAATTGCGCCCAGCCAAATGGCCATGGGTCAAAACCCGAATCGTCCAGTGAACATGCCAATCCCCACTAAAATAGGCTAAAACTCAGGTGCACCTACCAAGATCAAGATGGTGCCACTGCTCTTGACTCAGTGGCCAAATCAAAGGGGGTAGATGGCCAAAACCGGGCCCCCGGGCACCAAGCCGCGCCCGGCGCGGCCGTCTGGGTCAAGGCCCAGCAGCTCCAGCCAGGAGCCTTCAGGCCGTCGCAGCTGGAACCGGGTTCATAGGTGGCCTTTTGGAAAAATCGATGGGCTTCCCTGGGAAATGGAACAAAACCCATCTAAACCAGTGGAACCCCTGGTACATGGAACAAAACCCCTATCTAAACCAGTGGAACCCATCTATTTTCAATCAAACTAACCTAAAAAGGGCACCTATGCCTGGGTGTTTTTAACAGCCAGCTTTGACAAGCACAAGCGGGGTAAACCAGGACCAGGACCACAACCGAATTTGTTTGACACGGAAGGCACGTGGCTGTTTTTGGGGCTAAATTGCAAGTCACCCTTGGAGCCTCCAAAAGAGTTTAATGAGTCCGTGTGCAAAAGCAGCTGGGGCGGCGCATCCCGTGTTGGCCACAACTCTAGAAGTTGGAAGCTTTCCTGGCTTTCCTCTGCCCATTTGCCTGATCACTATGAAATGAGTGGTAGATGTCAATTATAATTTAGCAAACCTTGCGCGGTCACTGCCAGCCCCTGCGAGATCGGCACCATCCCAGGTCAAAGGATCTTCGGAAAACCCGTGGGCTATCCCTCAAGCCCCTTTTCTGCAAGAGACCGGAGGCCACTTTGGGTACTTGCAGAGAAAATGGGCTCTGTGTCCGGATGCACAAGCTGAGGGAGATGGACAGCCGTTGAAGGCAGCTCGGGCTGAGCAAATCACTGACGAGCGGCGAAACTTGATGATGAAGGCGGCTGCCAGCAGAAATACCGGATAGTAAATGATCAGTGCTGGGATGGCGTGCGTCAACGTCACAACCATCATGACCTGACTGACTGACAGTCGGCGAGAAAATCAGGCATCCAAGCCATGCCAAGAGCCCCGCCCTCGCACCAAGCACTTGGCTGGGCCGCCGGCAAACATGGAGGATCCGAACCTCAAGCAGGGCAGCGGGGGAAAAAGGAAGCCCCCGGAAGGCCGTCTAGGGCCGAAGGTCCGAACCCAGGAATCAGAACAACACTGAGCAAGCGGCAAAACCTAAGACTACTCTCTCGGCGATTTCGAATGGGAAGTTATCGTTCTTGTGGCTTCACTCTATCGTTCCTGGAGGTTTCTGACACTTGTCCTTTGAGATTTTCACGAAACCGAAGACATGTTCTCTCCGCACCGGAGAGTTTATCCTCTGCGCTCAACCCGAAACCCACCCTAAACCCACCCTAAACCCACCCTAAACCCACCCTAAACCCACCCTAAACCCACCCTAAACCCACCCTAAACCCACCCTAAACCCACCCTAAACCCACCCTAAACCGACCCAGCGACTGCCGAGCCGCTGCATGATCACCACCAGCAGCACGGCTCGGTGCCAGTCGCGCCAGCCCTGGCCGTCGTAGTCCGCGCCGAAGATGGGGCGGCCCAGCAGCCGGGCCAGCAGCCAGTCCCAAATGATCATGGACATCATGATGGAGCGCCTCAGGGCGCTCCAAATGGGTATGGCTCAACAAAATCGGTACCAACATGGGTGGCCCTGGTAAGTGGAAACATGGACCCAAAGCTGCATAACCCTAGCCACAAATGGCTGTGGTGGTCAAAACCACTTTGCGATTTCATTTTGGTTGGATTGGTGAATACACCACCCATTTTAGGCTGTATTTTAGTGGGGATCGGGATGTTCACTGGGGGTACGGGATTTTGACCCATGGCCTAATGCCCCTGGGCTGGCCAAAGATGCCGGCAAAAACCCAAGAGCCAGGCCCTCAGGCAGGCGTCTGGGCGGGGCAAAAGTGGGGCAGGCGAGGATGCCAAACATGTAATGAACCAAAGAAACCACAAGGCGTGGACACGCAGCTTCAAAAGAAGCCGATGCTTCGGTGACAAAGCTTCAATAGACTGGAGCCCGCGCTTTCGATCAGAGTCAGCCTTTGCAGCTCCCGAAAAACTGGCTCCCTGCTCTTAGGTCTGCACACCCCGATACACAACGATGTTTACGGGCCCCGTCACGCCCGCACTGCCCGGCAATATTGTCTGCAACGTCGGGCACCATGGGGAGCCAGGGCACACGAAGACAGAGGAGTGCACAAACACATAGACGTACCTTGGTTGCTCAAAGACTGCGGATGGTTGCGAAATCCATTTCGCACCACCTAAGAAACCCTGGAATGATGATTCCCCATACAGGTTTCCCCCGGTTTCAAAGTGGTCTCCACAGTAGTTCTAGATTGAAAACACGAAACACAAACGCCACAACGGATTTTTTGAGAAAACGGCGGCGCGTACGGCATCTCCAAGGGGCAAGTTGTACATGTGCCAGAGGCTCTCACCGGCCAGCCAGTCAATCTTGCACAGAATGGCAAAGGTTTCGAGCACCAGCCTCAGCTCCATCTGAGCCCATTTTCCCATGCTACATTGGCAAAAAAGAAAATAAACATCACAGCTCCTTCGATCCAAATTCAAACACATTCACAAAGTTTAACCTTTCTTTGAGCGTATCAAAATTGATCCTCTCTGTAGATTTGAGCACGCTAATCAGTTACAAGCACATTGCAGTGGCGCAACCCCTGTTTGTCATAACCACCACAAGACTGGCCGAGGCGCGTGAACAACTGAACTCCCACGTAGCACTTTTGCCTCAGCATCGATCCAATCTACCCCATCTCGTTGCTACAACTGCGGGCTGCATATGTGAGTGTGCCTTTTCTGCAGGAACCCCTCCTTTGGTTAGCTTATTAAAGGGAAACCAAAAACGGCACGCCATCCATTTTGCCGGTCCGGCCGGGGGAAAAAAAAAGACACGCCCATAGCTTACATGGCACCCATCGCCCGCCGGCTTGCAGGTCCAAAGGGCGTTTTGCTGAGCTCCTCATGCCGCTCCTCGTAGTACCGGGAGGTATCGATGAGCTGCTGCATCAGTGCGCAAACCCAGCAAGAGGCAAAGATGACGTAGTACGGCTTCTCAACAATCCTTGGGCCACACAGCTTCCATGCAACTCGGCGGAAGGGCAGAAGAAAACAAGTTGTGTGGTGGATCCGGTTGACTTTGGCTTGTTGGAGTTAGAGGCCGTGCCGAAAAAGGGGTCAATAGATTTCACACCCAATGCACTAAAGCCAACGCTCTTGAATGACCCTGAAACTGCCATGGCGTTCTCCATCATGAACAGCGGCAAAACGCGACCTCTCCTGGGACCGCAGACGCGGTAATGCCAAGCCTCCGAAAAAGGTTGCAGAACTCCACCGTCACTTGACCTCAGCTGGTGCTCCACAAACTGGAGCAACCTGATCAGCGCACTGAAGATCGAAGCCTACCAAGACCCGTGCAAAATGACCCTCCAGACAGGGGTTCCCCGACAAGATGACATCGTGTTTACGTTCCTTCCCACAAGTCTGTTTCGGGCAACCCTGCGTCCAGACCGCAACATGACTTGCTGATTGGTGACCGGGAGCCAGGAGCCAAACTTGCGGGAGTTAACTTCATGGCCTTGGGGCTTGGGAGCCTTGCCACCTCCAGCATGCTGGAGGTCGATCCTTCGACCCTCGAATCGCGCGCATGCGAAAACATGCAAACGCCCACGCATTTGGAACGGGACACCTAGCTTAACGTAACCTGGCATTGGGAGAGTCGGACCCGGGAATAATGGACAAGGCGACATGACAGACCGCAAGAGCTTTTGTCATACATGCTGTGACACAGATTCCAGGGGCCTTATCCGCTCTGCACAGGGCCATAGCCGAAACCGTGGCGAGCGCATCAGCAAAGCAATCTTCGAGCAACCTGCGAAAGGAAGCAGACGCAAGTTGTGTCAGCCGATGCAGCGAGATGGTGAGCCGGCGAATGCTAGCAAATATGTTGCAATTCGTGCGGTCGTCCTTGTCTTTCTGCTTCATGACGAAGAGGTCAAAAACTTCTCAGCAGCCCTTTCTTGCGCAACACTCGTCAAGCCTCCCGCCCCGGGAACAGCCCTCCGGCGGCAACTCTTCGTTGCAACAGCATCCCACGCGAAGGTCCATCATAGCACCCTATACCACGCTGCGCATCAGCAAGACGCCCGTTTTTCGTGTCGCGACCAGTGGGAATCAACTGAACAACTTGCTCTACCTCAGCTTTTGCCCCCCACACCAAAACCATCAACGCTTTGATCCCCTTGGCCCCCCTTCCCCCGCCCAAACCAGCAGTAGACTGGCAACCATCCTATTCCTCGGCCTTGCGATCGTTCTCCTTATTGGCCCATTCGTCCCCCCATCTGCCCAAACTAAAAAGTAGACCAGCAATCCTATGAATCTGCTCCGGAACCTGCCGGTCCACCTCCGCCGCCTCTCCTCTGCCCAGTGGCTGCTGGGGGGGGAGTCCGACAGGTACGGCAGCAGGTAATGCGCCGCCAGCCGGTCCGCAGCCACCAGCAAGGGCTGCGAGAAGGTCACCACCAGCGCGGCCAAGACCCCCACTCCCCCGCGCCAGCCTCGGACCCTCCCACCACTTAAACCACTTGAGCGCATGGCCCAACAACCATTTGCCACTAAAAACGATCCAAACCCAAAATGTAGAAAGTCCAGGAATTCGGGAACTGAGAACATGATTAGAGTTAGGCCCAGTTGTAGAATGTATCATTTTATTGTTTGCTTCACTTTGAGTCACTGGTAAATGTAAAATGTATCCTAAGTCCACCCCAGTTCACATGGAACCTGACGTTCGGGGGTCCTGGAAGACCGCCTTCCTTTCAAAGGGCCCGGTTGTGTCAGGTTTCACGGTTGATTGGTGGGAAACTAAGCCGTGTAAGTAGGCCATCCCCAGGACTTTGTTCCTTGTGTGGCCCCAATTGCCAGCGTGAGCTTGAAACTGGCACTGGGCTGTTAGCAAGACATCCTCATTGCACGACCTGAATAGTGGCTGACAGGGACGCAACATGACAACACCCCACAAAGCCATCTTGAGGATCCGTGAACATCTTCATTTGAATCCCAGGGCAACATAGATTCCATGACAACTCAGCTGTTTGCCATAACTTGACACAGCCACATTGTGTTCTTTCTGTTCGTGGCTGCTTGAATTAGCTTCACACACTTGCACATACATGCTGTGGTTGAGATTAGGCGATGACTGCAAGAGAGTATGCCCTCCTCTCCTTTCTATTCAAGCCATGCAACGAATTGCCAACACCATAACCCTGCTTATTATATGCATAGTGGAACAGTGCAGCCCAACGCTTTACCGACCCATTCTCTCCAGTTTGCATATGGGCGAAGCCAACCTGTCTAGAAGCCGAGCAAGGTGCTTTGAGGCAACTTGAGAAGCCGAAAAAGCATCGCTGAGCATGCCAAAGCGTCGGATTTGTCCACCATCAACAAAAATACGATACAGGGAATGCAGTTGTTCTTCCAGCGCAGGCATCTGTGTCCGACGGGCTACTCTCACCCTCAACGTGACCCTGTTTTTCGGCGCGTCAAAGATCAGCACAGGGCAAATAAGTGCGAAATAGTGCGAATCAAGGGCCGATGCCCCTGAGTCAGCTTTGGACAAAGCGGCAAGGCCCGCGGCAAATCATCGCAGGGCGGTGCAGGCCGCGCCATGCGGGCAGCGAGGGGTTCGGGGTTGGGAAAGCCACGAATTGGCGTTGCCGTCTTTGACGTCCACGTGTGGTTCATGGTGTTTTGGCAAGGCAGAGATACAGCGAGAATTGAGTGATAACGATACATACCTCGGTTGCTTTCTGCTCCCCTGCTAAAAGTTTCACTTTTAGTGGTTTAATACGGAAAACCCATTAGTTGGCAAAAAGTTAAAGTCCTAACAGCCAAGCAAAATGCACCAAAGATACGTTTCTGAGAACGTGCTAACAAATCGACTCGCCCTACGTCGCAGCTGGGCCGCTGCGCTGGAAAACGGTCAGACCACTCGGGTTTTATCCCCTGCTTTCCCTGGAATGCGAAATCATCAGAAGCAATGCGCAGGTGAGTTTAGCGTCCAGAAATGCATGATGTTACAAACGATACCTAGGCTTGAGTTGAATCAATTTGAGTTAGTCACTTTGAAGGAGTACTACTACGTGTGTGGCATCTTAGCTCGAAGCTGACTGACTTGTTCCTTTGCAAGTGAGCTCCGAAGCCGCTGCGGATTTCGACACGCGAGGTGAGCGAATGGCAAGACGCACATCCAAGTGACGCCATCGCTTCCGTCGGGGTTTGGTGGGTTCGATCACAAGCCGAGCACTGGGCGTGGCTCTGCACGACATCCCAGTTCCGTGGCTCATGTTGACCCCGGATTAATGCGCCCCTATTTATTAATATTGGGGGGGGGTCCCTGAGTTTAGTGGGGGATCAGACGGGAACACCCGCCTATTCATAAACTTGGGTTGGTTAATATCGGGTCAGCATCCGTGCATTTGTTGAAGAAGCAGGTCACCCTTCATCCTGTTGAACTGCTTGCCGGAGCCCGCCCCAGCCGTCACACATACTCAGCACTCCCGAAACCAGTGCATGTTCTCCAAAACGTGCTGACCATGCCCCAGCGACCCTGACCCAAGAGGAAAAGGACATATTCCTTTCCCAACCAAACAATCTCACAACCTCTTCAGCAAGGCCCCGCAACCAAGCATTGAAGGCACAAAGGAACATGTCACCTTGCGGCACACATGGGGAACCTCCCCCCCCAAACAAAAAATCGACACATAAAAAGATAATTTGGAAAACCACAAAACAACATGAATAATTAAATTAATACATAGTGATATATAAGAATAATAATAATAATGATAATAATTGTAATAGCAATAGTAATAAACAATAATGAAAATAGTAAAAATAGCAATAGCAAAAATAGAAGTAATAACAATATAATAACAATAATAACAATAGCAATACTAATAATATAAAAACCGTAATAATAACAACAGGAATAATAACAATAGTAATAACAATAATAAGAATAAGAGTAATAATAACAAGAATCATAACAATAACAATAACGAAAAATAAATAAGAAAAGTAATGATAATAACAACAATACCGGGGAAAATCATATATTCACAACTGGTTGGCTTCCCTTCAGCCAGGGCACTGACCGAAGGGCCACCTCTTTGCCTCTCGCTTGGCGCCGGGCGGGGGGCACCAGCGGCCAGGCCATGGCGTCGGGGCTGAAGTTCCCGGGGGTTTGGATCTCCAGCTCCTGACCCAACTTTGGCGGGAGGGAGGCCTTGCGGGGGGGGAGGGGGGACGCGGAAGGAAGGCGGTGCGGGGGGGGGGGGTGGATTTGGGGGGATTTGGGGGGTGGATTTGGGGGGATTGGGGGGGGTGGATTTGGGGGGATTGGGGGGGGAGTTGGGTGGGAAGGGGAAGGGGAAAGGGGGAAGGATTACATCTTGCTCAGAGTGGGGGGGAGGGGAAGGGGAGGAGGGGAAGGGGAGGAGGGGGGGGGGGGAGGAGGGAAGAGGGGGCGTTGGGGAAGGGGTTGAAGTGCCTACTTCGATTTGCAACGACCTCTCAATGCCTGCCAGACATTTTAGCACCTAGCTCTTGGAAGGTTTCGTGCAGCAAACCCAAGGGTGTGTGAAGAATTCGGCTCATTGCGAGGCTGGCCAGCAAACACCAGCTTGCCAGTGAAAAACAAGCATGCCAGCACGTATGGGCAGGAAACGATCTTCAATATACTACATTTGCATGGGCATTGGTCGATCTTGACACAGTGGGCCTGGCTTGCCGCGATCTTGCCAACATGGAATGCTTGAAGACAAGCATGGTAAAGTCGGCCAAGGTCAAGCTGACGTGCGTGCTGCGTTCGTACAATCATTTCCGGGCCAGAAAGGTTTCCAAGAAGAAGCAATTGAACTTGCATGAGATGTCATGCACTGCCCCAAACTCCTGGGTGCTGCGAAACACCAGATCATCTTCCAGCAGGCAGGCGTTGAAGAGCATACCCGCCTCACGCGCCGCGCCGAAAAATGGCGGCGAGGTCCGCCTTCCGCGCCGCAGCTGGGGGTCGGGCGGAGTAGTTGTCCCTGCCAACTCTGGACCTCGAAGTCTTGGAATCTCATGCGCGGTATTCAGTGCGAGCGCCCAAACTTGGGATTTCGGTTGCATGGCTTTTCCGCAGAACCCATGGCAAAACCAGCAGCTGAGTCTATCTTGAGCTCAGATTTCGGACAAGGCTTCGGGGTCACGGCAGCTTGTCGATGGCCAGGAGCAACGCCTCAGCTCAGGTGGTCAAGGCTCCTGTAACCCCGAAACGCGCACGGACTCCCAAAAGCCCCAAGGAGGCCGGGCTGGGAGCTTCCGTCTTAGGGGTACCTTCCATTTCCATTCTGAACCCAGGGATCCGAATCTTTTCAGGAAACCATCAAAAACCCGGGGGAAACAGCTTGCCGTTTGTTTTTTTGTCGTTGTTGTTTTGTTTTTTGTTTTTAGTACGATGGTTGAGAAGAATGGAAAAGGAATCAACCCCTACACTCGTGTCTTTTTGGGGAAAACAAGAAGAATGGTTGCAAAGAATGGGGAATCAACCCCTAGAATCTTAGCTGTTCGCCTGACGCCTCTTTGCCCATGAGCACATCTTTGGTTGCCCGGCATGGACGAACACCCCACGCCGGGAATCTTCACCGTGCCGGGCTTCCTCCTAGCGGCGAAGCCCACAGGCATGGCGATGCTCAAACTGGCAGACACCAAGGCCCAAAAGTGAGCGACCCATGATGACGCCCTCGAGGCCAAAACAAAGTGTCGTCAATTGCCAAATGGTATCCGGAGGACAGATTTTTAGCCACAACTATCGAAAATGCACCGCCAACCAGCCCAAGTGGCAAAGTTGTGTGTTTTGCATCCTGGTATCTCATACGACCGACTTGTTTGGTCACTGCGCTTTGCTTTGTATCGGCTTTGTTCTATCAGTGTGGACTATGATTTCATGCGGTTCGCGAGAAAATCCCTGCCAGCGATCCGTCAGCGATCCCCTGACACCTTTCATGGGGTTGCCATAGCTCCGAGAATCTGAACCAATCTGGGAGTCGCATTGACCAGGCTCCTCTGCCAGTTTTGGTTCATCACCCCCCCGCCCCCCGCAAGCCCTCCTCCACAGCAGAGATGTGCACTATCTGGCGGCCATTCCTTAGGATGTCCGCATCGAACACGCGAACTCTGTCTCGACTCAGTCGGCCCCAAGCTTTGAGCTTTTGCACGGTCAAGCTGTACACTGGTCCTCGTCAATTTGATGTGAGACACAGCCAAACGCGGCCAATTAATGCACATCTGCTACGACAAAGGCTGTGTGGCCTCTTGGAATTGTGCATCGCTTCTGGGCGAATGTAATCACACTGTGTTCTTGCAGCCGAGCTCCACCGGAGTCGCAATCTAGCCTTCAAACTCTCAAACGTTGAACAACAATGGTATGTGTCTTTTCCCTTTGGTCTCCCTTGAAAACAAACCGGTGTAGGGCTAGCCTCGATCGCTTGCGCCTCCGAAGAGCTTTGAATTGGCCGACGCCACGCGCCGATTCAAGTGCTACTGGCAGGCAATACCTCAGCCGGAAACGCTGCACATGCGCGGCAATCCGCTTGCTGAGCCCATGAATACATATTTGTCTGTCTTTTTGGATGGTACTCTCTTTTTGGGGTGGTTTTAACGTGCAACAAAATGAAAAGAACCGATTTTGATTGAGGCCCTATTTCGAGACAACCTCATTAAACAACCCAACTGTTCAAAAACAACTGCCACAGGGAATGATGCAAAGAGCTAGCGCTTCACTCTAGACTCGTACCAGGTGTTGGCCAGGTGGCGGTATGGAGTCTCACCTCGCTCTCGCACCGGGGACAACTCGGGAGTCCTCCCAAACCATTTCTGTGGGACCCGGTTTGCGCGGTGCTACGTGTCGATTCAGTCAGGGAGCCTTTGGCGAACTGCAGATGCGTTGGCTGCAACTCCGGTTTTTGCCGAGGTCCCGTGTGAGCCGCTGGGAGAGCTCAGTGGTCTTACCAGGGAAAATGCCAGAAGGCATAAGCAAGATCAGCCGCCTTTCATTCGCCCGCAGCTGAAAAGCCAGGCTGTGGACAAACCACGCGACCTCCCGCGAAAATGCGTTTTGCATGCGCCTGCCATCCCGAAACAAAACAAACGCGTGACAACGCCACGAGTTGCCGGGGATCTGAACCACCTCCAGAACATAGGTGGCCTTTTGCAAAAATAGATGGGTTTCCCTGGTAAATGGAAGAAATTCCATCTAAACCAGCGGAACCCATCTATCTTTACTCAAAGTAACCTAAAAAGGACACCTATGCTCCTCACCGCTCCGATCCGCTCGCCCGATCCAAAGACCAACGAAAAACCCGCCAGGTCCAAAGTCCTGGAGGTCCTGGGCACCGCCCCAGCGCGGGTGTTGAAGGCCCGCACGGCCGCCTGCCGCGCGCTTTCGAGTCGAGCGCTGATGCGAGCGTCTGGAAAGAAAACATCGTGCCTCCCTTCCTCCAAAAAAAGTGGTCTGCAAAAACCGCACTCGGCCCGTCCGTGTTTTGTCCTACCTTCGTAGTTCGGACCAAACGTTGAGTCTCGGTTTGAACCAAAAATCTACCCAAACGGCAAACAATTGGTCTGCAACAATGGCCCGGCCATTCAGGCTTTGGTACCGTTCCATTTGGGGCACCTATTTTTGGACCCACCGCCCCATCTCTTTGCTCCCTACCCCCGACTTACAGCTTCCGAACCCAAAAAAACAACGGAGAAAAAAAAAAAAAAAACGGAAAAACACAAAAAAACTCTTTCTCCGCGGCGCCTCGGTGAGCTGCACCCCCTCCCCGCTGTTGCCCCGGCGCCGCCACTCGTCCCGGCGCTTCTTCTCGCCCCGGAGCCTGGGGAAGTTGTGAGCTGCGTGGGTGGCAATCGAAGCTTCGGTCCGCTTTTTGTGTTGTGGGAGGGGGAGGGGGTACCGTACACACACAAAAATATATTAATACCTATGTATATGTGTATATATATATAGATAGATATGTGTGTGTGGTCAAACACACAATTCGGGCAAGGGCGCAGTTGCAGTGCTGCTGGCATCTTGAAGGGCGTTGGCACTCCCACACGTGCACTGGAAGGCATGCGGTTGGTCCGAGTCGCTGTGTCTTGAGATCCGCATTTCTGTCCCAACTGATTCTTGACCTGGAACTCTCCCGTGAGGCGGAAGAAGAGGTACCTTGCAGGCCGAAACAACGCCCTGCAATTCTTTCATCCGGCCTCTCTCTGACTTTTCGGGCATCACTGCGAGGCGCCATGCTCAAACCCATTCGCTGGCTGGTTCACTAGGCAATAAGCTTCTGCGACTCTTTCTTAGGTTTCCACTCCAAGCGACGCACGCTGACCGCATTTGCTGGTGAAACTCGAGCGGCTGTGGCCCTCCTGTGAATCTGCCGGGCAGTGGCTTGTGCAACCCAGGCACCTCACGGAACCTAACGCCTGCCGGGGAAGCCCGAAGAACGGCTCGCCCCTTGGACCCGACGCGAACCAGAGGCGCGTTCACTCCAGCGTGTGCGGCGAGATGCTGCAAGTCACCTGTCGGGGATAGCAGGCGGTGGTGGGCACATGCCGAACCTTGGCATGGCCATAGCCGCAGAAGAAAGGCCACACCTCGTCGCCGCCCACGGCGATAGTGTGCCGGTTCTTGGCTTCAAGGATATCCTCCTCGTCCAGCTGGCGCATGGCCTCCAGCAGGAAATCCGCCTGCTCATCCTTACCTTTGGCCTCCACATCTACGTTCACCCCCCCGATCTCGCACATCTGGCGGGTGAGCTGGGAAGGCACGTTCTCGATCATGTTGCGGCAGATCTGGGACAGCAGCACCTGCTCCAGGTCCAGCTTCAACGGCACCGGCAGGTGCCTCAGCAGACGCATCACCACGTCCACCCGGCGCAGGCGGTGCTGCTCGCCCTTGAGCTCCAGCATCCGGCGCATGTCCACGCGCTCGATGGTGACCAGCACCACGATCAGGTTCCCCCGCTGGAAGTGCTTCTTGGCCTTGGCCACCATGGCCGCCTCGTCCCGCAGCTTCTCGCAAATCATCCGCTCCACGCCCTCCGCCAGCCGCGAGATGTACTTGTCGTCCGAGAAGTCGCGGTCCGAGAGCAGATCCACCGAGGTGCTGCGGCCGCTGCGCATGGTGGGCCGGGAGTAGAAGTGCTCCCGGCCGCTCTCGATGACGATGTTCAGGTAGAACTGCACCGAGCAGGACTGCTGCACGTGGAGCCAGCACCACAGACGCGCTAGCACGAACCATTGCAGGCCGTAGGCGGCAATGGCCCGGATGTTGGCATCGTGGCCAATGGTCTGGAAGAAGGTGAAGAGAGTCTCCAGCAGCCAATAGGCGATCCACCAGCGCACCGCCCGGTTGGCTCCACCCACGTCCTTGGCAAAGTGCATGCCTACCAGCGGAAAGGCTACGTTCCACAAGCCCGGCACCGTCACAGACTGTGCCAGCGCCTGCAGGAACAGGCTCAGCAACCCCAGCAAGGCATGCAAGGCAAAGAACTGCCGTGCCAGCAGCAGCAGCTCGGAGACGCTGAGCCTGTCCGGCTTCTCCATCAACCGGCTCACTAAGTCCCATCGAAGCAACTGCTTGGTGAAGGCGCTGCCAAGGACGTTCTGCAAGCCGAACTTTCGCAGACCATTGATGAGACGCCGGAGCATGGCGGCACAAGGCCGCGCCTTGGAATCTACCTTGAGCTACCGGCGGCGAATGTGGGCGGCAGGCTTCAGAAATAAGGCCACTCTGCCCCCATGCCCCTGACATGCGCACAAGCTCCCTTCAGGGCGGAAACTTCTGCCTCAACCTGCAAGAGCCAATCCTCCAGTCCTCCTCACACCTGGTCGGGTCCTGCAAGACATGCTGCCGAGGTGCTCAAGCTGCATTCCAAGGACTGGCTGCTCAACATGCTCCTTACGCGCGGCACGTCTGTGATCACTCCAACGTGCTTGTTCTTCAAAACGGGTTTGCCTCCAAATGGAGAAGCAACACCCAAAGAGAGGTGACTTCCTGGCTTGCCGTCACGCACAGCGGCTCACGCTGATTGCTGCGCCCTCCAAAGGCCCAAAGACACGGGCCCAGCCAGAAAACGGACGCCAACTTCCGGCCCCCTGCCGAGGCGCAGGGAGGCCGAGTCCGAGTCCCCGCGCACCCGCGCGGCGCTGGCCCCGATGCACTCCGCCGCGGCGCGGTCGGCTTGTCGGGTGAGGCTCTTGCGGGTGACCCTGCGCGCGCAAGGGTTTGGGGGAGCCTCAGGGCCTAGGGCACCCCATGCAGACACATGGCTGTGGGTCAAAAATAGGTACCCCAGATGGAACCTTGGTAAATGAAAACATGGACTAGAACCTGCGATTTGTTTGTAGTGGTTTAATTTTGACCAACACCCACATCTGGCTGAAGCAATGGTAAAACGCCCGTATTCACCGCCAGACGGGCAAGGAGTAAATCTACCACCACAGTCACAAATGGATGCATGAAGTGCGTGAAAGAAGTTTGTTACTAGGCTGGTTATGCAATCAGCTGGGAAGCATCTTGACCTTGCAATTATCCCTCCAAAACAAATGATACTTCGGTCACAAGGATTCTAGAGGAAAAGGGTTGCAATCGTTTTGACTTTCAGCACAACTTTTGTCTGGCCAGTGGAGCACGTGGCCGTCCTGCTGTAGTCTGGCTCTGCGCATAGGCGCGAACCAGTCGAACCAGGCGTTGTCGGCAAAGCTCCCGGAAGCATGTGGTTTCCTCAGCTCCCACTGACTGCGAGCATAGTCATTTCTTTCAACTCAAAGCCCCGGCGCGCATCTGGGAAAAACTGGAGCTACACATGGTCTGCCCATCCATCTATCAACCGACAGTGGTGTTCATAACTTGCCACTTGGGAGCAGGTGTGTGATGGTCATGAATCCGGCCTTCATGCTGGGTGCTGATTGCGGCTCAATGTGCCCAAAGGGCCAGAGAACCAAAAAAAAAAAACGGAAAGAAAAAAAAGAAGAAACAAAAAAAAGCCTTTTAGGACCCTGACCGAAAACGGACAAAACATAGGGCGAAACCTAAAAAACAGGTCAAGTTTGCCCCACCGGCGTGGCCCACCTCTCCGCTGAGTACCTGCCAGGTCTCCCTGGAGCCGGCGGCTGGGGCCCCGCATGGGCGGCGGACACTGGGGCGTGGCCGGTGGGCTGTGGGCCTTGGGCGGCAGCTGCAGGCTGCGCCGGGGCGGCCCCACCTCGCCGGAGGAAGGCTCCGCTGGAAGAAAAAACACAAAAAAGCTTCGGAGCCCCGGGCAGGCGAGCTTCCCCCGGATTCTCAAAGTGGAAACGGATTTCGTCCATCCACAATTGTGGACATGGGCCATACCCCCTACTCAAAAAATACCCGGGCCTTTTTCAGGGTATCAGGTCGACCCTCTACTAAAAAAGGAGTTATTTACCATGGAACACCAGGTTTCCCCGTGGATGGACAAAATCCGTTCGCACCACTTTGAAGCCATGCGTTGTTGGCATTTACCAGAGAATCAGCAGGGTCTCTTAGGTGGTGCAGGAGTTTGTCCATCCACAGTATGTGCATCTTGTGGATGGACGAAATCCATTTCGCACCACTTTGAAACCAGGGGAAGCTGTGGTTTGCGGGCATTTTTGGGGGAATCATCATTTCAGGGCTTCTTAGGTGCAGGAGTTCGTCCATCCACAGTAGTCACTATCAGTCACTAAGCCGCAATGAATCAGTATGCGATAGGTTTGCATGCCATCTTTCGGATAACTCGGTCGAGGGTCAAGCCCGGATGTCTCAACAAGGGGCACGGGGGCTGGTTGACTTGTCGTTTCCCAAACAACCCAACACAAACCAAAAAAAGCAAACGAGTTCGCTGGTTGACTTGTCGCTCAGCCCCGCAGAACAACCAAACCAAATAATCGCAGCGTTTGATCAATAAGTCCTCCCACAATTAAAGACTTATTTCGGGGATCCCACAACATTGCCTGGAACACCAATCTGGGAGGGGGGGGGGAGGCCTGATGAATCAAAAGCGGCGATTAAACCAAACTTCAAGTGACCCCAAGCAACCGAGCCCCGCCCCGCCGAGCGCCCAGCGCCCAGCGCCCAGCGCCTTGGGCGTGGCGACCTCCGGCGTGGAGACCTCCGGCCAGTCCCGGAGCAGCGGGCCCTGGCGGTCCGGCGAGGCCGTGACCCCGGGCTCCCAGGGGCTCAGCGGCAGCGGCTCGCAGCCGAAGCGGCCCGTGACCTGCGTGATACCCAAGCTAGGGAAGCCGCTTAACACGAACCCCCCCCATGAATTTCCCAGAATAAGAGGTTACAAAGGCGTAGTGGCAGTCTTCTTTTGGTAGTTGCAAGACTCATTCATGTGCCCCTTTGCTCCCTGAGACAGCAAGAAAGCGCCCAAGGTCCTAACAGCCCAGAACTCACCAGGCTCAAACTTGGAGAGGAGCCTCTGGCGAAGCTCCATAAGATAACAACACCGTTCTTCACACCAACAGCGGAAAGCTTCAGTTGGAGTCCCAATTTCTAGCTGGGCACCAAATCTCTCGAGTGGGCTGCTCAGCCAGAAAAACCACCCATCAATGAATCAACGCAAGCGTGCCTTCACTGGGGCAGTGGGGATGTCCTCCTCTTCCAGAGGTGGAGCCATTTTCTCTGGGCTGTAAACCCGCGGGGGCGAGCCGGGGCTGGCCGCAGGCGTGGTCGGCAAAGGCGTGGTGGGCAAAGGCGCGGCCGGTGTGGCCGGCGTGGGGGGTGCAGTCTCTGTGCTGTGGTACGGCAACTGGAAGCCGCTTTCGGCCACCTGCTCGGCTAAGCCCTGATCCTCGATCTCCTGCCTCGCCCGCACGCAGTCTGAGACAAACTTGTGAAGCACGCCGAAGAGGTCCTTCTTTCTGTCTTGGTCGTCTTTCGGCGGCGGGTACACAAACCCCAGGTCGCCGAAAAAGAGGCCCAGGTCCCGGTAGCTCTGGAAGGCTTCCAGGCTGGCGCTCCACACTTGCCCGCACTCCTGGCGGGAGGCCTCGACGAACTCCCGTACGCACGCGTGGAAGGGGTCCTCCACCCCGGCGGCGGCCTCGAAGGGGGGGACCTTTTCGCCCCGGAAGACGCCCGTCTCCGCCAGCCGCGCCACGTGCCGGAAGCTCTCCAGCAGCGCCGCCACGTCCGTGTGCACCGTCTGGGCCCTTCGGCTCTCCGCGCTTCTCAGCGCCTCCAGCAGCTCCAGGTGGCAGAGCTGGTCGCAGATGGGCCGCAGCTGCAGCAGCAGGAAGTGGAAGAGGCTCATCTCCCGGCGCAGAGGCGATCTCAGCTCCAGCAGCTTGGGGACGCCTCGGGCGCTGGGATCGTCAGGCGCGGGAGAAGCGGTGGAGTTCTCTGACCCGAGTGCCCTAAGAATCAAAGCGATGGATCCTTGAATGGCACGAACTGACCTGATTCACTGGAATGCACTGGCGTATAGATTGGTATAGGTATGACTCTTCCTGGAAAAAGTTTCTAAAGTTGCCGCAATCCAGACCGATCGAACGGGCAAAGCCTAGCTGCACGACGAACAACACAACGATCTCCAAATACAATTGGATAGGGGGGTGGTGCAAACGGGAAACCAAAAGGATTCCCTCTCACTTCTTGCTTCCGAAAGCAACCCATTTGTTGGAGCCCCCCATTCAACGGTACCGCTGGGAATGGATGACCAAACCACACTAACCACCCACAAGCCGCCCACCCCCGCGTTCCCTTTGGGCGTGCTCAAGTTCAAATTCGGCCAAAAGGGACCGCTCAGGTCTTGAGGGCTTGAGCGTTCAAGCCAAAGCCAAACCAACCAAGGGACAAACATCTTGGCATAGATGGCCTGTTGGAACAATGGATGGAAACCCCATCTAAACCAGCGGAACCCATCTATTTTTCTTCAAGCCCAAAAAAAAGGGCACCTATGCCCCTTGGAAGGTTTCTTTCGGAGTAAACCCCATCTAAACATCTATTTTTGATCAAACCCCCCCCAAAAAAAAAAAAAACACCTCTTCTGCCCCTTGGAAGCCGAGGTTTCTTTCGAAATCGTCGAGGCGCTGGCGAGCTTGAAGCCCCGCGCCGCGCCCTGCGCGGTGCCCTCGTTCAGCGCGTTGCCCAGCGCCAGCGCCGCGGACCAGAAGCGCCGGAAGGCGCCCAGGCGCGCGCCTCGGGACGGGGAGGCGGAGCCGAGGGGAGGCCCGATCGCTTGGAGTCGGTGCCTCGAGGCTCGGATTGTTTTTCATGCGGAACATGGCGGTGGGCTAAAAAAAAGAAACGGAAAATGCCAAAATGGGTGTGCCAACTGGTAAGTGGAAACATGAAGACCTGCGGTTTGCCCCTCCGATCGTTTAATTTCCGTCCCTTTCTTGGGAAAATCCGGACTTGCCCTTAGGGTTCAACCCCCATCCCGATGTTTCCAGGGGTTGGTTCCCTTTCCATTCGTTTCAACCATTCTTTTTGCTTTCCCCAAAAAGACAGGAGTCTAGGGGTTGATTCCTTTGATGGTTTCCTGACAAGAAGGATGCCTGGAAAGAATGGGGAGAAGATAAAACTCCCTCCCCAAAGGCAGGCTAAAACGGAGCTTACCTAAACAGTTGCAGCTAAACCATTGTGTGACTGGCCATAAAAGAGACATCCTCAAAATGACCCTGTAAATAGTGCTTGAACGCAATTCTGAGATGCTCACTTTTAATAGGTTGGGCGCGCACCCCATGTGCTGGGGTCACCCTGACGTCATCGCCTGAGAAGTTCTGCTGTGGGTTCGCAAAACAACACAAACACACAAACACGCAAACAAACAAACAAACAAACAAACAAACAAACAACAAACAAACAAACAAACAAACAAACAAACAAACAAACAAACAAACAAACACACAAACACACAAACAAACAAACAAACAAACAAACAAACAAACAAACAATCAAGCAAGCAAGCAAGCAAGCAAGCAAGCAAGCAAGCAAGCAAGCAAGCAAGCAAGCAATCAATCAATCAATCAATCAATCAATCAATCAATCAATCAATCAATCAATCAATCAAATCAAACTAGAGGACAACTGGCCCGAAAGCATTTTTCCACAGGCGCTCATCCAGCCGCGGAGACACCTTTTTACATCGCTGCGGCGAGCGTGTCTGCGCGCGGCGATGCTCAGTGTGTATGGTCACATGAGAGCTCCATCTCATCATCCTACTTTCCTCTCGAACTGCGCCGCGCGATTTCTCACGAAAGTGGTCTGCGCAAGCTGCATTGTTCCAGGCTGCTGCGCGCAAGTTGCTCTCTGCAAGCTGCTGCGCGCAAGTGCTCTGTGCAAGTTGCTCTGCGCAAGTGCTCTGAGCAAGTTGCTCTGCGCAAGTGCTCTGCGCCAGTTGCTCCGCGCAAGCGCTTTGCGCATGTGCTCTGCGCAAGTTGGTCTGTGCAAGTTGCTCTGCGCCTGCTCTGTGCAAGTTGCTCTGCGCAAGTGCTCTGAGCAAGTTGCTCTGCGCAAGGGCTCTGCGCCAGTTGCTCCGTGCAAGCGCTTTGCGCATGTGCTCTGTGCAAGTTGGTCTGTGCAAGTTGCTCTGCGCAAGTGCTTTGTGCAATTGCTCTGTGCAAGTTGCTCTGCGCAAGTTGCTCTGCGCAAGTGACTCTGCGCAAGTTGCTCTGCGCAAGTGCTGCCGGAGCTGCGGGGGTGTGCTCCGCGTACTACGTTTGTACTTAAAAGCTGCGATTTTCAAGCCGGAGCTGTGGGGGTGTGCTCCGCGTACTACGTTTGTACTTAAAAGTTACGATTTTCAGTTATTGAACCTCGACCACGCGAATCTCCGCACAGGGTTGCGCGCGGCCAGCCGAAATCGTAAAAAGTCCTCAGTTTTTGAACCTCGACCACGCGAATCTCCGCAGAGGGTCGCGCGCGCACCGCAGAAATCGTAAAAAGTCCTGAGTTTTTGAACCTCGACCACGCGAATCTCCGCAGCGAATCTCCGCAGAGGGTCGCGCGCGCACCGCAGAAATCGTAAAAAGTCCTCAGTTTTTGAACCTCGACCACGCGAATCTCCGCAGAGGGTCGCAATCCCGAGCGACGATCAAACTCCCGCCCCGGCGCCTTAGAAACCTAAACTAACTTACATAGCTGCTAACGCCGAAGCTCTAAGCTCTACCTAACCTTGGCTCTATGTAACTTGGCTCTATGTAACTTGGCTCTATGTAACTTGGCTCTATGTAACTTGGCTCTATGTAACTTGGCTCTATGTAACTTGGCTCTATGTAACTTGGCTCTATGTAACTTGGCTCTATGTAACTTGGCTCTATGTAACTTGGCTCTATGTAACTTGGCTCTATGTAACTTGGCTCTATGTAACTTGGCTCTATGTAACTTGGCTCTAAAACTTGGCTCTAACTTGGCTAACTTGGCTCTATGTAACTTGGCTCTATGTAACTTGGCTCTATGTAACTTGGCTCTATGTAACTTGGCTCTATGTAACTTGGCTCTATGTAACTTGGCTCTATGTAACTTGGCTCTATGTAACTTGGCTCTATGTAACTTGGCTCTATGTAACTTGGCTCTATGTAACTTGGCTCTATGTAACTTGGCTCTATGTAACATGTAACTTGGGCTCCGCACGGAAGAACCCTTCGCGATGCTTTCGGGAACAAACAAACAAACAAACAAACAAACAAACAAACAAACAAACAAACAAACAAACAAACAAACAAACAAACAAACAAACACAAACACACAAACACACAGGAACACACAGCACCAGGCTTGCAACAGCCGAGGTCTTGTGTGTACAAGTGTTTGTGGGCACTGCACCAGCTTGTTCATGCGCCATACATGAGACTGATGGGGCAATGCGTAAGATCAGACGCTACGCTCAAACATGTGCGCGTGTTGCCGCAATTCACACCTCATGCACGTCCGCGCATGAAGTTGCACTCGCGCGTGGGTGGGCAAGCTCACTGCAAACACTTCGCAGTTTTGTAATATGTGTCAAGCAATGACTTGTAGGAAGGCAAACATGTTCCCCAAGCTGGCGCACATTCCGTGCATCTGACTGTGCGCAACTGTCTCTGTAGCTGCGCATAGAGTTGGGCCCACATGAAAAGGGGTTTTGGTGATTAATGCTTCGGCAACGCCATAGTCAAGGTGTGGAAAGGTGTGTGCGTGTGCTGCGGGAATCATGCCAGCACAACCCTTCCGAAAAATCACCGAATTCCGTTGAGCTTATTTTGGTGCTTGCCTCACACCCGACAAAAAGCACAAGCAAGTGTTCGTCTGATCTAAGCCGACCCTGGCTGCTGTGTAACGCACTCTGGCAACCAATGTAACAAGCATGCCAGGCACAGCTCGCTGCACGATAGCAACTCACCAATTCACTTCATCCACTGGCACTCGAAAAATTGTATTTCTTGATATATCCTTCTGCAGTGAGCTCAGGAGAAGCTTTGGCTTGGTCATTCTGGGCTGTTTAGCCTTGACTGGCGACCTTACCAGTCTCTACTAGGCCCATGTTGCTTTCAGACGTCTCATGAGGTCAAAGTCGTGCGAGCGTTTTTCTTTGTGTGTCTACACGAATAGGAAGGAGGACCGCGAACTGGGGACGGGGCTTCAGCACCAATGCTGCACCGAAGAAACCCTGGTATGATTCGATTCCCATACAAATGCCAACACTCCACAGTGTGCAAGGCGGGGGGCAAACTTGCAGCAAAGCCTGGCGCAGAAGCTGCAGGTTCTGCTTGCAGTGCTGCAGCTCCTCCGCGAACTTGGAGATAAAGGCCATGCACTCCAGCCTGCCGAAATCCCAAGGGCGCTGCTTCCAAGGGAAAGATATAGGGAAATCCAAAGGAAATGACGGCTTTTTCCAGCCGTGCCCCCCCAGTGTTAAGCACCAGGCAAGAACCCACCGAGCAATCAGGCTGACACACAGGCTGTTTATCACAGCCCTGGCAAGAATCCTGCTGGCTTTAGGCTGGTCCAGTCACCTGTACGGACAACGCCAAACACAAACGCCCCTCGAAAGGTGAGGTGATCTCAAGAGGAACGGCGAAACGGCGAAAGTGCAATGCCGCAGCTGGGCTGCCCTCAGATCCCCCACTAAAAGCTAACCCACTAAAAGTTTAGCTTTTAGTGGGTTAAATGGAACCTACCACTATGCACTAAAAGGCTAAAAAGCTAAGGAAATGGCTGGGAGCCACCGAGACAGATCGCCAGCCCAAAGCTGTCGCTAGCCGCGCCGAAGCACCGAATTTCCCCCGTGAGCCTGGCGGAGATGGCCGGGATCCGCAGCAGGCCATACAGCAGTCGGTGCAGGTGGGGGTGCTCCAGCCTCGCTTTGCGCGAGTGCCGAGGTGCACCGGGCATCAGCAGGTTCCTCTAAAAGCCCCCTGGAGGAAAAACGGCATCAGGGTCCAGTAGAGAGCTTAGAATAAGGGAACCAACTTCTTTTCTGCAGTCTATTTTAGTAGGGGAACCCTCCCCCAAAAAGGGGTGACCTAGGCATGGTCGTGGCTCAAACGAAAGACGGGGGGTTCGTGACACATCTCCCTTTGCCGACATGCTGGAACGAGATGGGACATGACGTCGAAACAAATGTTTTCGACGCTACCGCCTTCCCACCACTCCCGCATGGAAATTGGAGGACGCCACAAACAAAACGGGATTTGAGAACCGCTAAGGCGCGCCGAGGGTGCCCGGAAGAGGCTAAAACCCACGCGAAGGAACTTCATAAACCTCTCACTGGAAGTTTATGTTGCGTCCTTTTGGCATTCAGTACAGTCGCCTTTGCCCTGTTCCAAGTTGATGTTCGCTTCGCCTTCTCGCTACGAAAGCCTGAGAAAGCCTGAGAAAGCCTCATGGCTCAGGCGCCTGGACAGGGCTTCAACACCGCGGCTCTCCACGAAGGAAACGATGCTGGAGCTCGAGCCCTCCGTCTGCGAGCTGGCCACCTTCCGCATGTCCTGAAGCGTTGGCACCCATGTGGTTGGAGCCCCGCTCGGTTCAAAAAAAAAAAGTGAAGACCTTGAAGGGGGGTCGAAGGAGGACTTGAGAGGGAGCTTAGAGGGGGGGCTTCAGGGGGCCTGGGCCTGGTTTTGCCTGCCTCGCACAAACACAAACTCTGCAAGCGCTAGGTTCTGACAAGGATCATTTAGAACTGGGTGTGGCAGCCTCGCGCAGTCGCAGCGTTCCAAAGCAGTCAAGAGCTCCGTCACGGCGTTCTCAACCGCATCCTGAGAACCCACAGGCCACTGGGTAAGTAAAACCTAGTGGTGTTCTTGATAAACCCCCCAATGCGTTTTTTTCAACAACACACAAACACGCACGCACGCGCACGCACGCACGCACGCGCACACACACACACACACACACAAAGAATGCATGTGACAACTTATGCTATGATTGCAAAAACTACTACGGTTGCCAGGCCCCTCTGCCAAGCGGCAGTTTGGCCTCTGGCGGTGCCAGTCTCTCTTTGTCTCTGAATGGCCTCGCCCCGCACCATCAAATCCAGCATTCGTTGATGCGTGCTGTCCACCTGCCAGCGGGGACATACATCTATATGCACACGCATTTAGGCACATAGCGCTGTACATGTTGCATGCCCTCGCAGCCACATGCGCCAACAAGGGCGCAAGCAGCAAAGTAGGCCAAAGACCAAATGCATCCGAGACACGATCAAGGAGCTGACATTCGATGCGCACGACGCGCGCGCGCCAATGTCAAAAGCTGCTGTCCGAGCTTGAAAGAACTCCTCCAGCTGGTCTTGTGGGAGTTCTGGCACTGGTTCTTCGGAGACAGCATTGAACACCTGGCTGTGGGTCACAAATTGGTTCCCGAAATGGAACCCTGTGTAAGTGGAAACATGGACTAAGACCTGCGGTCTCCTGGTGGTTTTATTTTGACCCATACCCACCTCATTGCATGAGAAAATTTCCTGAACAGCGAGATGACAATCCCCCTTGCGCAAAAAGGACAGGTACTTAGGGACATGCAAAGCCAGGCAAGAGAAGCCCAATGCCCCTGCTTCCGCAGCTGATTGCTCTTCATTGAGGCTTCAGCCATCCTTCCTGGCAAAAACACCCCCTTGTATGCACGTCTGATTCATGAGTCAGGCCGAATTTCAAGAAGCCAGCACGGCTTTTTAGGCTCTTCCTGGACCCCCCCCCACATCAGGGGACTTTGGAACTGAGGGTCGCCTCCGAAATCGATGCCTTACTCTGGCTCCCGTGTCCTCAATTTCCGGAATGGCAAAGGGAAGCTGGAAGAAATCAAAGAAAAAACATAAAAAGAAACAGCACATCCAGGAAGTAGCGATCAACAGGGTCACTGCTAATCCCTTTGAGTTACGATTTGCTGGTGTGCTGCACTTTTCAACTGGCACTGTTGGAGGTCCCCCCCCCCAAAAAAAAAGGAAGAAAAAGAAGAAGAAAACGGAGGGAGCCCCCTCCACGGCTCCAAAACCTGCCCCTTTCGGCTCCCAAAGCGAGCCGCGGTTCTTCTGCGGCGTCTTCCCGGCGCAGGGGCCGTGTCCTCGAAGTCGCTTGGGGGCACTGCCCGCTCCGGCGCCTCTCGCGCGCGCGAGCCCGGCGGCTCGCGAGATCTGACGCACCCAGGGGATGGGGACCCGGAGTCATCAACGGAGTTGTTGTTGTTGTTTTTTGTTTTTTGTTTTTGGGGGGGGTGTATTTAATAGAGGAAAATGTTGGGGTTGAGTGGGGAATCAGACCACTTTTGGAGGGGAACACCCCTTCTTGAAAATAAACTGGGGTTGGTTCATCCGGGGTCAACGTTGCGAGTCCAGGCAGTGATGCCCCACTCTCTGGAAAATCAGCTGCCACCACCAGGAGCGAACATGGCCAAGCTGAAGAGCCAAATGCGAGAGAACAAACGGAAAGCGGGTCAAACGAAGAAAAGTAGACTATAAAAGAACTGAAACGATGGGATTCCATGACTGATGACCTCAGCAAAAGGCGAAACACCATTCGAAAGGCTCTGAAGGCTCTTTGTACACGGGATTACGCGCTGGGGAAATGAGGGCCAAGCTCCAAATTTGGCCAAGCGCCTGCCTTCGCGGAGAGGCCTGCCCGATGCTCGAAGCTCTGGATGCTTTGCCTGAGGTGAGGGTCCCTGCCAGCTCTCAATCCTGGATAATGATAGACCTCCTTTATCAATAGTACCCTCTATTGTACAACCTGTTTTTCTAATTCAGGGTCCAGCTGACTGGTTCCACTGTTCAGGGGGGGGGGTCGCATTAAAGAGGGTCCAACCTTAGTTTCCAGACTCTTTCGCTGGCAAGCCATGAAGCTGCTGAAACCTATCTTGCCCGGCGATCGCCGCAAAGTCGATCGCATGGTCGGCTCCTAGTCTCCGGCCCCGCCTCATCCTCTCTGCGCGCTCCAGCGCCCACCTCGACAAAAGCGAAGGCGACGGCTAGGGCTGCGAAGGCTTCATTTTTTTGGCTGGTGCCCAAGTGGGCTTCCAGTAGCCAATCCCAAGGAAAGGGATGCGGCATGGAAGCCTTTGTGTAGTGGCTTCTTGCTGGACTTGGCAGCAAGAGCCCCTAGTGGACAATGCCACAGCTGCTTAAGCATGGCCATTACACTGCTAGTACGCTCACTGCGTGATTCATCCCCCCCCCACAAAAAAAAAGGAAACGATCAGGACCCCAAACTTCTGAACACGCGCCCTCGTTCCAAAAGCATTGTAGTTTGACATGTTTTGTTCGGACCGCACTTGAGCTGTGCAAACCTTTTCGCGCCCTGGCCCTCAACTCATCCAAAACTCACGCTGTGCACGAGATCCTCTGACCCAAAAGGCCAGCGCATCCCAAAGCAGTGAGCAAAACTCAACTAAGTCCCCTAGGTGGCTGGGTGGCTGGACTTTCGGTTGAGCAAACCCGCCTGTCCATCATGCTGGACATGCTCTGCAAATACCTGGGTTGGCCAATCATGTCACGAGCCGTACTTGCAACGCGCGTGCAGCACTGAGCTGATTAAGTCCACAGCATTTGCCACAACCATGATCATTAAGCGCCTGAATTCATGCCTGGCTCTGTTTAGAGTCTCCGCCGAGGCGCCCATCTTTCCCGACGTAAATCTCTGTCTCCTGGCCGGGGAACACACAAGACGGAAGCGACTTGCGAAGCCCGAGCTCCGGAGCCAATCTGGAGCTCCCATGTCTGAAGTCAGCCGCTCGGTCCTCCGGAGGCCCATGAGAGGCTCGCCAATGCAAGTTCACGAGCCGCGCGGATTGCGCGGCATCCTTGGCATCCAGCCAGCGGGCTTTCATGGCACCCTACGGTCCCGAACTCACCGAAATCTCCGGCAAGGAGCATCCTCGGCCTCGTCGCTCCATCCCTTGGTTGCAGAGGTCGTGGCCCGGCATGCAAGCGGCAAACCAGCTCCCTTATCAAAAACGACATGAACCAAAAAGATGCAAAGCATTTGACGCCCACATGCGATTAGTCCGTCCACGCACATTTTGCTGATACACATCCATTGTCCCTGCTGCATTGCCAGAATAACTGCAAGTAAACGTGTAAAATGATTTGAGTTTGCAAGTGCAAAACCTAAAGCACATGAAACAGTTTATCAATGGAATGCGCACCAAAAAAACGAAAATGCGCACCGAACACGTTTCCGCTGAAGCTCTCGCAAAACCACATTCATGACTAAACCAAGCAACAATCAAATCCAGGCGCCCGGATGCAAAGCGAGCACAGGCACACCAAACACACAACTTAGACACACTAAAACAAAACAAACACAAAATGTAAGCGACTGCGTAGATCTGTGACCTGCCAGCGAATTTTTCGCCAAGCTGCAGACCCCTTTGCCTTCAGCTTTGCCTTCGCCTGGTCGATTTAGGGTTAGGGTCGGTTTAGGTTGCTTTAGGGTGGGTTTGGGGTTGGCTTAGGGTTGGCCAGGATGGCTGAGGGTTGGCATCGGGTTGGTTTCGGGTTGCTTGCTTGCTCGCTGGCTTGCTCGCTTGCTTGTTCGCACGCTCACTCGCTTGCTTGCCAGAACTCGGTGGAACAAAATAGAATCACTGGGGTAGAAAAAAGACCCCTGTACAAATGCATCCCCTGCAAAGACAAGGATGGACTCCCGCGAGGCAACCCTATGAGCGTGCGGCAACTCATTGGCAACTCTCCTTTGTGGTTGAAAGCTGAGTCGCTGCAAAACAGGTGATAGCGAGTGTAACAAACCCGGACCACTTCTGTTCTGGGAACATCTCAAAGTTTCTCGAATGCCAAGCAAAACCAAGCGCCAAGCTGCCCAAGAGTAGAGATTGTCCAACAACTGCAAAACATGGGCCAGCACTGGGGTAGCCCCCCAGAATCGGCAAGCAAAGGTCAGACAGAAGGCACAATCACTGGTACAACAAAAATCGCGCCAAATGTATTGCATCAAAATCCCTGCGCTATCCTCAGGCCTGCAGAAGCGCACTCCCCAGAAGCACCACATTGAGCGCTCACACGGGCAACGTATTGGGCACCCCATCAATCAATGGCTGGGGGTTTTGTCTGTTGATATTTCTGGGTGAGCCAAGTTCAAGCTGACAAGTTAATTATACGGAATCAATAACTTTGGGATGCGGAGTCATGGACTGCTTCTTCCCTCGAGCGCCAAACCGCCTTGCCCTTTCCCCGCCTTGGGCGGCGCGGGCGCCTTGCCCTTGGCCTTGGGCGGGGGCGGCTTCGGCAGCGAGGTCCGCGGGACCTCGGCCCGCCGCTATCGGCGTGGGAGAGGGGAAAGCGAGGCTGAACAACCCGGCGGTGGCGCCTTTTTGCGACCAGTGGAGGGGGCCATGGGGATGTGCCAAAGCGCGGGCCAAGAAATTGGCGCCTTCCTGTTGGCCTCGCTCTAACAACCTGAGGGGAAACTCCTGATGGACGATGTTACTTAAGTAACACATTCAGGTGTAGAGGTGGGGAAGGCAACCCAGTGACAAGGGAACGAGCTGTCATTGCCGCTGTCATTCCCAGCAACAAAGCTGCTTTCAAGTGCCCGGGCACGGGCATTTTGGAACATTCTGCTATCCCACCGCACTTTCCCATCGCTGGTGTGTTCGATTTCAATGCCATCTGGCCTCGCCAAAGGGCTTGTTCGCTCTAGCCTTTCCCAAGCCCAAGCCGATCAGCACATGGCAGCTTCCTTCACACACCAGCCCCCCAACCCCAACCCCAACCACTCCAAGGCGCTTTCGCCTTTGGCACTGCCTCGGGTGCATCTGTGGGGAGTTTGTCACCTGCAGGGCTCAGGCGGCTACCGTGCTGTCGGGGGGGGAACACCCTCGCAGCGGCCGGAGGTTTTTTGGCGAACAGGGCATCCACCTAGGGGACACTTCCATTTCCATCCTAAACCCAGCGATCCGAATCTTTCCAGAAAACCACCAAAAACCCGAAAGGAAACAGCGATCGGTTTTCTGAAAAGAACGATGGTTGAAAAGAACGGAAACGGAATCAACACCTAGAAAATGGGTGTCTTTTTGTGGTGGTCTTCCTGTTGGGTCTGGTTTTACAGGGAAACCCAGCCATTTTTGGGGGGAGCTGAGTCCCTCCAAACAGACCCACCCGAATCAACTCGTGCTCCAAGGGCCCGCCCGGCGCCTACGCTGCTCTCGACGCCGGCGGCCTCCGGCGTCTGTCCTGCGCTCGTACCATGCCCAACCAGGGTGTCTGGTGGCAAATGGACAGGAATGTACAACCAAAAGGGCTTTCTGTCCTTTGGTCATTGTCTTTCCCTGGCCTGACACTGCGGGCACCGCGGGCTCCGGCTGACTGACCGGCCTTCGTCACGTGACGCATGAGGTTTCTAGCCCTGATGTTCCCACTCCCGTCCCCGAACTGGCAGAGGGCATGTGCGCAAGGGCACGCATCCAAACACTTTCGCGACTTCGCCGGGCGCAAATGCGGGATACAGCATCCTTTGTTGGTAGACAGCATTGCTGAAGAGAGGCAGGCTTGAAAGGTAACCTACAACTTGGATACCTACAACTTGTCAAAGAAAATGTGGCCATGTGCTTGATTGTACGGGCATCTGTTTTCATTTGCCTCTGGTCTAAACAGGGGGCCCGCGGAAAAAAAGACATGGCCCGTCACTTTTTGCTTCCAAGCACTGAGAAGGTGGCTTTGCGTCTGCTTGGAGCTGCTGCACCTCCTGTGAAATCAGTCTGCTGCTTTGCCTGAGGGTCCCTTTGAACACGTGGATATGTTTAGGTACCCTGCTTGAAGGGAAACCAATTACAAGTGTGACCTTCGCGGAGTCTGCCATTGTTTCCAAACGACAGGGAAGGTCAGTGATGTGAAATTGGCAACCCAACAAGGGCAACATAAAGATCTCTGGTGAAAACCGGGATCTAAACGGATTGAGGGACCTGGGGCTAGAATTGTCAAGGGACCCGTGGCCGCATTTCGACCACCCTTTTAGCCGTGAAAAACACCTTCAACTGGCTCAGCTGGCGAAAGAGGCAACGGCTTGCCAATGGGGTAGAGGTGTTTTTTTTGGTTTACCAACCAACCAACCCATCACCAGACCTAATAAAAAACCAGACCTAGTAAACTAAGAAACACTACCTCCTTGCCAATGGTTGCCACCGAAAATTTTGGACTTTTGGACCCGAGCCAAGACAATCCAAGCGCTGTCCAGGCATGGTTTTGTCTCCTTCTCCAGCACTAGCAGCTCCTCTTTCCTGACGCAACCCAGCTCACACTTCTCCAGCATATGCTCCGCATGCAAATTTCCACAGCATGCCTCACATGCAAGATGGACTTGCAGCTTGTTGACCTCTCTCCTTTTGGGACCCTCCTAGTTGGGCTAGCAAGCCCTTTCACCGGGGCAGTGAGGCACCGGCCCACTTCGTCCCTGTCAAGACAAACCTTTTGGGCCCTCCTAGTTTCCCTTGGCCAGGCAAAAAGGCTCCAGATCTTCAGCTGCACCAAAAGCATCTCAAATTGGAGGAAACCAAGCCAGATCTGGGGCGGGGGCTCGGCCGCGATTTGCCTGTGAGGCAAAAGCGTCTGGGACCTTCTGCGCCCTACTCAAAATTGGTTTGTGGTTGGTTCAAGCGCTTCGTCAGTGCTCTTGTTTGCCGAAAAAAGAAGAAAAAGAAGGAGAAGATGAAAAAAAAAAAGCCAAGTCCAGCCGAGGCCTGCGGGAAAGGCCTCTGCCGGTTTAAAGGGGGGGGGGGGAAAAACGGAGAAGAAAAAAAACGGGAAACAAAAAGAAGGAAAAAAACAGGCCGTGCCCTTTTGAGGGTACCTTTTCAGGTACGGCAATGGAAACAAGAGGGCATTTGGAACCCCAGTGCCACTTTGGCCCGGCTTCCTACCCCCGTCCGCCAACGCGCGACAGGGAACCTGCCTGCGCAGGTCCTCCTGGCGACGGCTGTCGTCTCGGGCCTGTCTCAGGCGCCATGTGGAACCAAAAAAACGCCGGCGAAAAGTTCCAATGAAACCAACCAGCTGATCATGAGCGGCTGGGGTGGGTGGGGTGGGGTGGGTTGGGGGGGGAGAGGGGGGATTGGTGCACTGCAATGTCTGCCAAGCTGCCTGGGCTACAGTAGCTTCGAGAAATACATGCCATATCATATTGTAAGACAATCAAGAAATGAATCAACGAGCGCAAACATAAAGCCCTAACTTAAGCTGGGAAGGGAGCTTTGGGTTGGCTGGCGACCTTACCCAAAGCACCGCCCACTGCGCCTCCGATTGGCAGCTGGACATCAACAGCTTCAACTTGGAGCTGTATTCGCAGACGGCCTGCGCTGGCCTACCCTTTTCAGGACTTGCTGCGGGGAATGAAAGAACACACACTCATTTTGCTTGTGGACAAGGTCCCCATTGAACAAGGCAGGTCAGAAACAGGTGGCTTGCCCAGCAGTTGAAACTTCCGACAGCAACCTGCTCCCTGACCCCCAGAAGAGCAGAAGCTGATCAGCGCTCAAACTGCCTGAAGCTATTGCCGGCCCGCCACAGCGTCCCAGTCAACCAGCCATGTGGCTGTGGGTCAAAACCAATGGTAGCATTTTGGGGTAGGTGAATTCGGGATTGGATTGTTCACTGGGGGTACGATTTGGATTTTGACTCATGGCCATGTAACCCCAGGCTGTGGAAAGCCCTCCGGTAAAGCACCTCTTTGCCCTCCTCCGGATCCGGAGGAACCTGCGGGCACAGCTCTGGCGTCAGCAGACACTCCCCACTTTCGGGGACAGCGCTACGACTTCTGGCCGGACAGTCGAAAAATGAACAGCTGTCACACGGCACCCTGTCCTGGCGACTTTGTTCAACAAGACACCGGCAAGTCAAGCTGCTAAAAAGGGCCCCTGAAACCAAATGGCCCTCGTAACCAAGTTCAGACTGTTCGCCACAAACTACGAGACCTCCCATGAAAAAGGCGCCTGCTCCAGCTCCTTGCACATCTTCTTCACGCGGTCTCGCACGTGGTGGACCTGGCACGGGCGCAGCATGGAAGCCCAGGACCACACAAGCGTTGCACCCCGTGCAGGCTGGCAGGACCCATCAGTCTGGCGGATCAACATGGAACCCAGAAAACAACGTCGGCCTTTTCGGCTGCCGTGTCGATTTGCGGGGGGGGGGGGGTTGTGTTTAACCACGCTGCACGATGTTAGTACATATGGAAAGAGAATGTGTCCTCCCACAAGCAAGGGACCTCCACAATGGTGCACCGTGCAATGATCCAGAGTTTGGTATATCCTGGATAAACATGAACTTTCAGGGTGCCGGGTGAGGAAGCTACATGTTTTTTTGTTTTTTTGTGATCAACAACCCCCAAGCAACGCCCATCTTTCGCAGCAGCCTGGTTTTGGACAGAACCTTTAGGGTAAGCGGACTGAGATCCCCCGCACCTCTTCCAGGGCCTCCTGCACCTTGACCTGCAAGCGCGCCACCTCGGCCTGAGATGTGGATTGAGAAAGGCCAGTGAGGTTGGGCGCTGATGGGAGGGGGGTGCGACCTCTTTGGGGAGTCGGTCACCCCAGCTGGCATGCATCAGAAACCCTACCGTGCTAATAGGGTAAAGGGGGAACGGCAACCAGTGGTGCCAACAGTGGTCGAGCCTGTTTGGCGTTTCGAACCCCAATCATAGGGGGCAAGCAGGAGGCTACACCATGAGGCAACAAGGCTTTGGGCTGTTCGGTTTGCCAGCGGCCAAGCCCCAAAGGGACATTGCCCTTTGGCGCCAATAAAACTCAAGCAAGCAACAGAGCGTCGGCAACCATCTCGTCTCCCCCCCTGCAACGAATGCAAAAGCCGCGGTAGTTCCTATCTGGGGACGTGTTGAACCAAGTGTAGATGGTGCTTTATGCATGCGCCCTTGAAACACGTGGGCGCAGCTCAAGCGACCTAGCCGCAGCTCTGACGACTGAGGCAAAGGCTTCCATGTCCATGAGGGCGGCCTCGGGTGCCCATGGTACCAGGCATCTTGCCGCGAACGGTCATAAGCGACACAAGAAGTGCTCACCCACCCACGTGACAATTGGATTGGACCCAAAAAGAAACTGCCGGTGCATAGTGCATGCTGAGGCGGCCGCTTCCAGGTCACAAGGGACCGGAAGGAGATGTGCACATCTATAAGCTGCGGAAGAAGGCACAACGCGCAGCGAGCATCAGCAAGCCAACATGTGTCCGGAGTCCTGGCCCACCCCATGTTCAACCCCAGCCAAAACACATGCCACAATTGCTGCGCGCTCAGCTGCAGCAGCAAGAGGGAGTGAACAAACAAATACAAGCAAAGAAGAAAAAAAACAAAAAAAGGAAAGAAAACGTCAGGCAACAAAAACATCATAAACCTCGCTTCTATTGCAAGGTGGAAGCACGACCCACTGGGCCAAAGACCATCGATCCCTGGTCAGGTTCACCACGGGAACTTCGTGCCCCGCATCCTGCAGGCCAGCGTCCGTGAGCCCCACCCCAAAGAGCCATGGAAAGCGGGTCCGAGAGGATGATGATCCGCGTCAGCGGCTTGAAATGCTCCAGGACCTTGGCTCAGCGCACCCGGCCTTGACTGCACCCCACTTCCAGAGCCCGGCAAGCCTGCCCACCGCCGTATGTCTTGTCGCAGTTTGAGTGGTGAACAAAATTGCCCCTCTCAGTTGCGAAGATGATTCTAAACAAAAAAAGACCAGCCACTCGTTGAAAACAAAACAAACCCGGACCAATCTTTCACTTCGGCCCTGGCCAGCGTGGCAAACTCGTGCTCCAGGAAGAGGGTGGCCGGCGAGGCCTGGCGCGAACTTTTGGGGCCCAGTTGGGCGGAAGTAGACAACACAACGTCCCGTGTTTTTCCACACTTGCCCGCCAATTGATACTCACAAAGGGGTTTAAATTCTGCTCATTCCTATTACAAGACATGAATACCCTGAATTGTTATTGCTTGTCGCCAACCCCGGTACACACATGAAGAGAATCGTGCCATGTGAGGCTGAGATATGAGATGGGGAGGCACACAGTTTGGCCATGGAAGCCACGGCAACGAATTCGAAACTCACGAGGCTGGCCATTTCAAACAGCCCAAGCATCGCTTCTCCTTGCGCGAGGGCTCCCGAACTTTGGGCCCATGCTTGTCACCTAACTGGTCCCAATGTGGCCTAGGCAATTCTGATCCCGCAGTGGATCTAGCGAATTGATAGGCCGCCTCCCGCAAAAATTGGCGCTTCTCCCAAGAAGGGGGGCAGTCCTGGAGTCCCCCCCTTCATCTACCCGCAGCTTATCACTTTGGTGCGCTGACAACGGCACTTTTCCCCCACCCCCAACACCCCCCCAAAAGCCTTGCCACTGGGATCCACAAAGACGAAGGCCTCATCCTGCACACCCTGGCGGCGCCGTGCTGACCACTGCCACTTGGCATTGTGCCCAAGGTCGCACGCTCGCTGGAAAGGCTCAATTGAAGGCCCCATCTGGCTGTGGGTCAAAAATAGGTACCCAACATGGAACCCTGGTAAATAGAAACATGGACTAAAATCTGCGGTCCCCTGCTGATTTAAAATTGCCCCACATCCATCTATATCTATGCATCCCCCAAATCATCTGCCCACACAACTCTTCAACTCCCAGCCCGAGCAAGGTGCAGACTGCAGAAAGCGCCTGGTCGTCCGGATCGCTCAGCACAGTGGCGTGGCCTTCAAAGTAGAGTATGAAGTAGTCGTTGACATCGCATCTTGACCTGGCTCTACCCGCGGCTACCATCCCTCTGATCGCTGGCTCAAAGGAGGCTCCAGCACGGATGCCATGAGTCAAAATCCAAATCGTACCCCCGGTGAACACCCCAATCCCCACCTTCTAAAATGGGAGGTGCACCTACCCCAAAATGGGATCCCATTGGTTTTGACCCGCAGCCATGTGCCAAACCCAAGGCCTTTCGAGTCGTCAACTCCGATGCGGTGCGGCCAAGTGAAACACGCAGCTGGCCAAGGTCTGGAGGGTGAAACTGCATGCACTGCGCCCGAGAGAAGCCTCCCAATTTACCGGCCAGGCGGGAAATGCGCACAATGCTCGCCTGCCGCACGGCGGAAAACAAAGAAGCAAACAAAAACAACCAGCAAACACACCGAAAGTTCTAAGGCGTGTCAAAAACCAACTGGACAACTTCTTTTGGCGAGACAGGCTCTCCATGGGCCACCAGGCGCCAACCGTGGCGCCACGAGGCCCTCAGAGCTCGCCCAAGCTGGCAAAGGACAAGGCCAGATCGGAGAAGCCCGGCCGCGCGGCCTCAAAGGCGAACCCCCCAAAGGGAGGCAGCCCTCCCACCAACTAACATGGAAGTGCAAAAAGGCCCTTTCCGTTTCTAGTGGTGGAGGTATGCTACTAGGTTGTTTGTTCATGTTTTTGTGTTTGGAAAAATTAGAATTTGCACACAAGAGCAAAGTAATCTTTCTACTGCACTTCCATGTTAGCTGGTGGGAGGGAAAGCCTGGTTATTTTTCCCCCATGGTAAATACCACATGTTTTTAGTAGAGGGTCGACATGATACCCTGAAAAAAGAGGGTATTTGGAGTAGGGGGTGTATGGGCAACAGTTGTATCCCATGGGATCAAAAGCAATGCCTCGGTTGCCTAGGCCTCAGGCCCTGCCCGCCCAGTGTCAGGACCCCTTATACAAGAACACGCAGGCACAAACACACACTGCCACTCTGGCGCATTGCCACTTGTTTTCGACGTATGGTGCTTTCCGTATTGGAATTCATGAAGCGTTGCGGGATCCGAGCACGCTGTTTGGCCAGTAGGTTCAGTGGCGCTTCCCTGCGTAGCGTCTGAGACCCAGCCTGTGAGGGCGTTTGCGCAGCAGCCTCGCCTCAGGTGCCAATGACCATCCCCAAATGGCAGACTTTCCACGGTGACCCACGTGAAAGTGCCAGGGAGAATTAGAAATAGCAGGTTGAGACCTCAAATCATGCAAAGCCACCTACCGCACGCCATGCCCGATGTTTTCCGCCTGGAAGAAACACATGGCCACCTTTTCCAACGATTTTCACAAGGTTTTACAAGCAAGGTGGCCGGATCGAAAAATAAATGGCCCTGGTACATGGAAGAAACCCCATCTAAACCAGCGGAAGGTATCTATTGTTCAGGAAACTAACCTGAAAAGGACACCTATGACAAGCAACCTGTTGGTTTCCTCTCACTGCCGGTCTTGTTTTTCCACTTCGGTCTGGTCGCAAACCCGCCAAAACCGACCGACCTGAGGCCCCAGCTGGGAGTCGCGGGCAGCTCCTGGCTGGCCCCCCATGGGCGGCCAACCATAGAGTGTAAAGGACACGTGACCTATCCTCTTTTGTTTTGACTTCTTTCTTCTTTTCTCTTGAGAGGGGGGGTTGGGACAACTGAAAACCATATTTGTGAACTGGGTAGCTCAATGGCTGTGTTTTATCTGGACCTACCTCCCCTTTTGGCAAGAAGCGATCACTACATGTTGTCAAGACCTGGCACTGAAGAGATCTGCCCAAAACACATGAGAAAGCATCACAAAGCCGATATCCGCTGTTGGGACTCCTCCCCTAACCTTCACCTTCCCAGGCTCTGATTTTGGCTTTGGATTCTTGCTCACAGGGCGAGAACCCTGCAAACAAAAAGGGGAAAGGGCGGCACTGAACAACTGAGACGAAATCAAAACCTGGTATGGCCTACTCACAACTCACAACCTAAAGAATCAAGAGGGCGGCTCCCTTTTGCAGGATGCATCCCAAAAAACCGGCTGAAGGGGAGCCTCAAAAGTGGCTCTGGCTCGCTCTCTTCGCGCCTCGGTGCCGGACTTGCTCCAGCGGCGGTTGCCCAGAGCGGGCGGCGCAGCCGACCGGACGTTGGTGCCTGCGGCTGGACTTTGCCGGGGACTTTGTCCAAAGATGTGCAATCCAACTTGCTGGCCATAAGTCACCCCCGAAGTGGTGGGTTAAAGGGAAACAACCACAGGTTCTGGCTTTGATAACCCAGAAACCGTCAAAATAATGACCCCACTTATGAAAGGGCATTTACTTCCCCAACTCGGGTTTTGAATGCTCTTCAACATTTCTGGGGGGGCTGCAACATGTCCCCTTCTGTCCACTGCTTGGTCCAGAATATGAAACAGCTGCCTGACACCAGTCATTTGGACAGGCGGACGCACGCACGCACGCACGCACCCACCCACACACACACACACACATATATATATATATATACACTAACCCACTGACAGACAGGCACACACATACACAGCATACACGCCATACACACATACACATTGGCGTACATACGCACATACACACAACGCGCACACCCACACACGAACAAACGAACGAACGAACGAACGAAACAAAACAAAACCAAACCAAACAAAACAAAACAAACCAAGCAAAAAAGCAAGCAAGCAAACAAACAAACGAAACGAAACAAACAAACGAAACAAAACCAAACTAAACCAAACAAAACAAAACAAACCAAGCAAAGCAAACAAGCAAGAAAGCAAACAAACAAACGAAACGAAACAAACAAACGAAACAAAACCAAACCAAACCAAACAAAACAAAACAAACCAAGCAAACAATCAAGCAAGCAAACAAACAAACGAAACGAAACAAACGAAACAAAACCAAACCAAACCAAACAAAACAAAACAAACCAAGCAAACAAGCAAACAAACAAACGAAACGAAACAAACAAACGAAACAAAACCAAACCAAACCAAACAAAACAAAACAAACCAAGCAAACAAGCAAGCAAGCAAACAAACAAACGAAACGAAACAAACAAACGAAACAAAACCAAACCAAACCAAACAAAACAAAACAAAACAAGCAAACAAGCAAGCAAGCAAACAAACGAAACGAAACAAACAAACGAAACAAAACCAAACCAAACCAAAACAAAACAAACCAAGCAAACAAGCAAGCAAACAAACAAACGAAACGAAACAAACAAACGAAACAAAACCAAACCAAACCAAACAAAACAAACCAAGCAAACAAGCAAGCAAACAAACAAACGAAACGAAACAAACAAACGAAACAAAACCAAACCAAACCAAACAAAACAAAACAAACCAAGCAAACAAGCAAGCAAGCAAACAAACAAACGAAACGAAACAAACAAACGAAACAAAACCAAACCAAACCAAACAAAACAAACCAAGCAAACAAGCAAGCAAGCAAACAAACGAAACGAAACAAACAAACGAAACAAAACCAAACCAAACAAAACAAAACAAACCAAGCAAACAAGCAAGCAAACAAACAAACGAAACGAAACAAACAAACGAAACAAAACCAAACCAAACCAAACAAAACAAACCAAGCAAACAAGCAAGCAAACAAACGAAACGAAACAAACAAACGAAACAAAACCAAACCAAACCAAACAAAACAAAACAAACCAAGCAAACAAGCAAGCAAGCAAACAAACAAACGAAACGAAACAAACAAACGAAACAAAACCAAACCAAACCAAACAAAACAAAACAAACCAAGCAAACAAGCAAGCAAGCAAACAAACAAACGAAACGAAACAAACAAACGAAACAAAACCAAACCAAACCAAACAAAACAAACCAAGCAAACAAGCAAGCAAGCAAACAAACGAAACGAAACAAACAAACGAAACAAAACCAAACCAAACAAAACAAAACAAACCAAGCAAACAAGCAAGCAAACAAACAAACGAAACGAAACAAACAAACGAAACAAAACCAAACCAAACCAAACAAAACAAACCAAGCAAACAAGCAAGCAAACAAACAAACGAAACGAAACAAACAAACGAAACAAAACCAAACCAAACCAAACAAAACAAAACAAACCAAGCAAACAAGCAAGCAAGCAAACAAACAAACGAAACGAAACAAACGAAACAAAACCAAACCAAACCAAACAAAACAAAACAAAACAAACCAAGCAAACAAGCAAGCAAGCAAACAAACAAACGAAACGAAACAAACGAAACAAAACCAAACCAAACCAAACAAACCAAACCAAACCAAACAAACAACCGCCTGCACGTGCCCACGTAGTTCTTTTCCGCAGGTTCAACTTCAAGTTCTCCCCACCCTAAGCGCTGGGCTTTCGCTGGCGCGCTTCAGGGCCATGGCAAAGGCCGGGTCGTCTGAATTCACCTGCGAACATGTCCCCGGCTATGCAACCGCGAGTTCATGGGGCAACCAGCGATTATTGCTTGACCTTGGGTGAACAGCAATGTCCCTTCAAGTGAAGAACGGAGATTTTTTTTTAAAGAAAAAGAAAAGAGCCTTTGGGTACCATTTGGAGTTGGTAATTGTGAGGATGTAACCTTCATGAACCGGGTGAGAGCCCAAGCGAACAAAGGTCTTCAACACACCCGCCGTTTGCCACAAGCGGTCTTCTGTTGTGGGCGCCTTTTCAAGAATGGCAAGCCGTCAAGGTGGCGAACCCTCCCAACCGCCGACTGCCGAGTGTCTGTCGGAATCTTCCGATCACTCCGCGGAACTGGTGGCGGCTGTGGACGAGGCGCGGGGGTGTCCCGATTGGCCTGCACGGGCATTCAATGACAAAGGACTAAGGCTACCCGGATACCCGGTGTGGAAGAATTGATCACATCCCCCATTTGACTTGGAACCCCAGCCGTCCATTCCGAAGTCGAAACTCTTTCTTTGGGAATGGCAACGGCACAGTCCTCATGAGTCGATGCCACCCTCTCGCACTCAACTGGCACAACCCTTTGGCATAGCGCAACCCGGCTTCCTCTCGCAGAAATCACATCCTTGGGAACTTGCCAATCGCAAGGTGGGCATGGGCCAACCACTGGTGAGGTGCCCTCGTGGGCGGCCCGCGCCTGCCCCTGGCTGGAAGCCTGGGAGAAGCTACGGACAAAATGGTTTTGAGGTACAAAACATTGAGCTCCCAAACGAAAACGAGTGACAGGTTTGCGTGTCGCGCGTCGTAGCCCGAAACGGTTGGCCGCAAAGCGGTTGGATGAACTTGCCGCTTCTCTATTTTTGAGAACCTGCGGAGCTGAGACCCTGGAGTTTGTATATGGTTTGTTGTGTTGGCATTTGCTGCGGTGAATGAGGAGCCATGCTCATGGCAGAAGTGGCTCAAGGCCAGTGCTTGGTGAATCCTCACGCGGCTAGTTGCTGTGCTGTTTTGCAGGTGCGCCGGGTACGCGTCGGGCAGCGGTGTGTACTCGGCACGCAGTCGCTGACTGGTTTGGATGCGGAAACCCGGTGCTCAGCAGGAGCACATCTCCGCAGACCCTCCTGTTCTGCGGCTGCTCCCACGGGCTAGGCACTCTACCTGTCGGAACTCGCACCTGGCCACGCGTCCCAACGAAAATTGTTTCGCCAGGGGGCGCCGGGCGTCCATTCCTCGCGCCACGAGGACTTCCCACTCTGCCGCGAGGTGGAGGTCGACCTGTGTTAAAGGGTCCCTTCAAGGGACACTGGCAAAAAGGGGAGGCACTCTTAGCATGCGCACACACACACACACCACAGGTTCCCTTTCAAGTCCGGGGGTCTGATTGCTTCGAGCCAAGGGTGTAAACAGGCAGACTCTCTCCCGACTCCCACCTAAACTGCTCGTGCCGCACGTGGTGCAGCCGGCATGGGCAGAATTGCCCACGGCAACTGGCCCCATTGCCCATTGCTTCACCACTATCAAAGTCACCCCCCAAGTGGAAGGTTAAACGAAAACCCCAATAACGACACCGTGGCACTGCGAGTTGCCCCGATTTGACGCTCCCGGCCTGTCGGGCGCCGGCTCCTCGCCGGCGGTGGTCGGCCTGCAGGGCGGATAGGTTCTGGCCCCAAGGCCCGTCCCCCGGCACAAGCGCGGCGCACGTGTTGCGCTGAGGTTGCTCCCACGATTCTGGTCTGCATTAGCCACGTCAGAATGATCCCAACCCAAATCCAGGTGGGAAAGTGAGCACCCCCAAAGCCTTGCACCACTTGCCCCCGGCCCCCGGCCCTTCCTGGAGGAAGTGGCAGACCCGGCAAAGGGCCGCCGGAAGGACCTCGGCCTCGGCTGGACCTCAGTGCCAAACAGCAACCGAACCTGGCACTAGCTGGCAGCATCAACCACCGAGTGCTGAAATGCTTGGCATTGCTCCCAAGCCGCAGTCTCTCCATCCTGACCTCTCTGTTGACCTTGTTCATCGCCTTCTCCAAGAGGTGCAGCTTCATTTTCCTGCTCCTCTGGCTCCCTTTCCGTTTCCCTCTGCCACTGCGGCAAAGGTGGAAGCACGCCCTCCGCCCGTGCCGGGGACACCTCCTGCAAGGTTGGGCCCAACTTACCTTCTTAAGATCCCCAAATTCTCATCCTCAACCCCAGGGTGCCCCTTTCGGAGGAGCACATGTCGCCTCTCTCCAAGTCAGGCAGGTTTCTGCAGTTGCTTTGCCTCTCTCAATGTCCTAAAAGTCCAACCCTGTCCAATGCCTCTCTAACAACTTGCCCCAAGAAAGCAAGCCTTGGCAGGAGCAACACCATGGCCAGCTCTCAGGTTCCGCCTCGTCCATGAGCTCCGCGGGGAGCTCCGAGCCATAGGCCGAGTCCAAGGCGTCGGCGCGGCCCTCGCGCGCCAAGGTCTCCGCCACGGTGCGCACGGCGCGGCCCTGGAGCCCGGCCAGCGCCAAAACCGGCAGGGCCGGCAGCCTGAGACGCCGGACCGCCGGCTGCAGCGGCTGGAGGTGTTGGGGGGATGGTTGGGAAGTCCTGAAGCCGAACGAATTTTTGGGACATATGCATTAAAGTCAGGCCAAGGGTAACTTTGAACTGCGGCAGCCAAGAACCTTGAGATAAATTGCATCCCGTCTCCACTTCCACATGGAAAAATGGACAAAGTTGCGCTCAAAGCAATGTGAAGCAGTTGCTTGCCACATTTTCTTCCCATCACAAGGGCTGCAAATGGCTTCCGAGGGGCTGCGCAGCCTCGCCGGCCTCGCCGGCCGCGCCGGCCGCCTCGCCGGGCTGTCCGGCCTCATCTTGGCAGCTCCGCGGCGCTTCTGCGCCTCCCCAGGCCTTGCAGTCTCGCCAATCCGTCGTGGCATGTGCCAGTTGCACCCATTTACGCTGCGGGATGACAAGCTGAGGGCTGTCCATGCAAAATCGGGTCCAAGGAGCCGAATGACCGCTCTCCAAAAGGGAAATTGCTTGCGAAGATGGCACCAGCTTGGTCATGCTTGGTCATCCACAGTGGCCAGTTTTCGGCTCGAGCCACCCCGCTCCCCGTTTGAATCAACGGCCCCCCCCGCCTCCGGCGGGGCCTCTCTGCCTTTGGACGCCTTACGCATGGGGAAGAGGCAGCGCACCAGCCATCTGAGACCTTCGGGCTTGCCCCTGGACACTTCCGGCTGGAAGATCTGCGTGGGTGCCTGCAAATCGCTGTAGTGGTTTGGGTGGCTTTGGGTGGCTTGGGTTCTTTGAGTGGTTTGGCTGGTTTTGGGTGGTTTGGGTTGTTTGGATGGTTTGGCTGGTTTTGGGTGGTTTTGGGTGGTTTGTGTTGTTTGGGTGGTTTTGGGTGGTTTGTGTTGCAAGGATGGCTGCCCTCCAACTCACCTTGGACAGCAATTGGGTGTCAAACCCCTCAAAGCTTACAAATCGACCTCATCAAGCACAATCGCTAGGACAACATCGCATGAGGTTTCTAAAGTCAACCCTTCCAAACTCCGCAATTGGCTCACCGTTTCACGCGCTGGACCAGAAAGCAAAGCCAGCGTTTACCCCGGCTCAGCAGGCCTCTGGCAAGTGCTCGACTCCCATGCCGGAAGTAAGCGGCACGCTGCACAGAGCCCGAAACGTCGCAGGGAGCGCGCGATTGCAAGTTATGGTGCTGTTGATGTTGCCTGCAAACATTATTGGAGACCTCCTTGGGCCTGGCCCAGAATTCGCGCACTCAACGCACGCTGCCTCAAAAAAAAGACATGCCGACCAAGAAGCAAAATGTCCACGTCATACCAAGCCCCCCGGGCACCTACCAGCAACTGCAGCCCCACACTGCCAATCTAGGAAGGCCCGCCCGGCATTCTTGAGGGCACGCCGCACTGCATCTTTAGTACACTGATGGTTGTACAGAGTTAGCACCTTAGTCAGCTGGCAGCATCAGGCTGACTCGACACCGGCCAAGTGCCACACATCGTGAACACCGCACTCTTTGGCCTCAGGAAAGCTTTGGATCTTCACCATTCAGACCGCCAAGATGTTCCATGCCTCACTTTTCTCTAGGGTTGGCACCAACTCTTCAATGTGCTTCGCGTTCGTGACGCTCGGCAGGCGCTGTGGACTGTTGGCATAGTCCAGCGCCTCCCGGAAGCCGGAGAGCAACCGAAAAACACCAAGGCACTCGGGACCGGGCGAGGATGATCAAGTAGATCCGGTGGTCCTGCGCGAGTCTTTCAGCACTCAGAACTTTCGCCAACCGCGACCTCTCGGTGGAAGATCGGAGCCTGGCCGAATGCCACGTCTGGACAAAAAAGGCTTGGAGTGTCGTCAATGTGCGCTGGCCCCATTGCCAAGTGCATGCCAAGCAGCTGCGCGTTTGTAGTTGGACAAGCCATTCACTTGGCCGTTGCGCTCCCTTGTTGCCTCAGGATGTCAACAGCAAGCAACAGTTGTAAACACTTGTCCCCCCCACGAATGCAAATGCTTGCAGCTTTCAAGGCTGCAGCAGAGGTCATTGCACCAAGCACAACGACAATGAGCTCAACCCGCACATTGCCGCGGCGGCGCAAGCATTGCCAAATGTTTGGGCCAATGTTTGGGGTCAGTTGCTTGCTGGGATGGATTGTTTGGCTGGGCGCAGATGTCTGCTTGAATTGCAGCGTCTGAGTGTGATGCATTTTCAAATTGTTGCATCACAAAGTCTTGCTCCTAACTGGTCTGGGGCCAAAGCACGGTTGGTGCAAGTGAGGCAGCAACGTGGACCGTGCAACACAGCGACGAAATGTCTAAACAAACCGCAACTGGAAGGCCAAGCCGGCTCTTACACATCAAGTTGGTTGGGAAACAGCTCTGGGTGGCGACCTTTTCCACGCACGTACAAACATTGAGCTACATCCACATCAAAAGGTTGTTGCAAAACACGCCAGAAACCTGTTCACTGCTTCAAGCCTAAAACATACATGCAGGGAAAAGAAGCCAAGAGATGCAGACACGCTCGCCGCTTCTTGCTCCTGGTGTTGCTCAGGGGTGCAGGCTCTGGGATGCAGACAAGCCAACGTGCGTGTTCGACTTATGCCTGCTGCGTATACTCCCGCTTCAGAGCTCTGAAGCAACCGGTAAAGCAACAGGCCCCCTCTTTAGTGCGGTTCGATGCTCCAGGCGCCAAGGCGCGTCTGCCGGCTGCCGATGCATGCCTTGCGCTTGCACTTCACCGGCGGTGAGACATTCATACCACAAGCAGTGCAAAAAACTTGCTGCACATGCACGGCATGCGCGGCTGACCCTGATGGTTTCTCCGCAACATCTGCGTTGCTTGACTCATCCGAACAGCCTGTGCCTCAGGGTCGTTATGCAAAGCCTGGCTAACATGTCAAGCTCTGCGGGCAAGTTTTGTTTGGGGACCTCAGCAGGCACGGGGTCTGGACCATACTCACCATAGCTTTGGCTGGTGGAACCCAATGATTGGACGTGAGCACTCCGTGTGGCATATGTTTCGCGTCATGGCGAACGTCGCTTCAATGCAGGAAATGTGCACTGCAGGGCGCTGGGAGTGCCGAGAGAAATGTCTTGTTGCTTTCACGTAGTGCAACGCACGACCTGATCATGAGGGCGATGGCGATGGCTTGCATGTTGAGGGATTTTCCCCCTCCCGCAACAATGCAGGTTGGGGTTCATACAAATGTCCATGCTACGCATGGAGCGGAACTCTGGGCTGGCCAAAGGTGCGGAGAAAGGCAAAGGAGGCTGCTCGCCTCGTACGTGGTGATGGACACGCGCAGAGCTGTAGTCTCCAGGTACATCAACTTTGTGCTGATGACCTGGCGGGAGGAAAGATGCATGCATGAGAGGCCGAAGCTGGCCTAGACGGCCAAGTGTCACGACGAAGGCCCCACCACCGTTGCTGCCACGCAGCCACGCGGCAGCAGCAGCAGAGCGAGCTCACAAGCACCCCAGCACCACCACACAACCCATCGGCAGCAGCAGGCGAAGGCGCCGGCGCAAAGCGATACGCATGTGCCGGTGGAAGGGCGGCGCCGGCATCTGTCGGGATGGCAGTGCCCCACCCGGGTCCGAAAGCACACTGCGAGCTGTTGGTAGGGGATGCGGCCGCCGCGCCTTGCCTATGCGAAAACTTGCTCCGCCACCGCGGCTGGGACGATTGCCCCTCTTCGCATCATGTCCTGGCGCGTGCTGCGCCGCCCACGAAAGAGGCCCTGGTGACTGGCCACATGGCTGTCAGCTTCGCGCGCTTAGTGGCGAGCGCGACTTGCTGCCTATCGCCGTCCGACCGGCTCAGCAGGCTCATGTCGGCGTTGCGCCATGTTGGGGAGGCAGTCCGCCCACGCGCCCCTGGAGGCTGTAGGCTGACGGGGCGGGCGGCACACACCAAGGCCACCTGCACGTGCAGGGAGGACGCGAAGGCGCTGGACCAGGGCCCACCCAAGTCCTCCAGACGCTGGAAAGGCGCAACTTTGCCAACTCCACCGCTGGTTGGGGAAGGGGGGAGCAAAGCGCGGAGGGCGAAAGACCATGCGCGGCGGGTCCCAGCACGCATGAAAAACGGCACGCTTTGGAGCGTAGGAACCGGGGTGGAGAAGGCGGCAACCAGACCCACCGAGTCAAGTCAAACCCAAGCTGCCGGGGTTGAGTACACTGTCCGCGGGCGCCCAATTTTTTATATGTTTTTCTCCGCGCCTTTTTCCGCGCACTGGGTGAAACGCTTCCAAAAAAGGCGGCGGACGAGCAGTCTTCCCTGTCAAGCCAACACGGCCCCACGACCCTCAGCCAGCCCGTAGCGACAGCCGGCTGACTTCTTTGGTCGGGGCGGCGCGCTGGCCCGCGCCATGTAGGCCAGCGAGGGTGGCAGCAAGCGCCCTCTGCAATGCCTGCACTGTCGAGGCCCGCAGCCACTGGGGGCCGCTCCCTCGCTTTGGCACGGGCTAGGGTACGCAGCAACTCCCGCGCTTACCGTTCCATCTGCCACCGGCAAGCAGCTCAGGGAAAGTCGCCTCCCACTTTGTCACTGCTTGACGTCCACGCTACACGCTGTTTCTGCTCGCAAACTGCAAGTGCGGCACGGCCGGGATACGCTGCAGGCCGAGAGGGAACCCCGAGGACAACCAACCCCTGCTTGTCGGGCGGCAGGGACGGATCGCCCACCCAGCGCTCCCGAAGGCCTCCACGCCCGGCAGCAGCACACAGCCGGCGTTCCAAGCCCGAGCCTTCCCCAAGTTTCCTGGATGCCTGCGTGCGCCCGCAGGTGCGCCTGCAATACGTCAAAAATTGCACGCGCACGAGACATAAATGTCATACACATAAGCGAAAAGAGCCTCTCCTGGCAAGAGCACTGCCTGCGTGGCCTGCAAGGCTGGGTGCTGCGCCTTTCGCCCTGTTCGACGACATGCGCCATGCCATCGTTGTCATACCACAAGTACTGCGAGGCCTGGCCATAAAACTGCCGCACGTATGGCAGCAGCGGAGCGAGGCGACTTATGCCCCCCTTTCGACGCCAAACGCGAAGGGGCATCCCTCCCACCCACCCTCTTGAACACATGCAACACACACAGCACCCAGCAACCCACCATGCTCACATGCGAAAGATCAGCAAACGGGCGCGTCTTATTTGAGTTCAAATACGTTCTGTCAAAAATCAAACTTGTTCAGCCAAGTCCCGGTAGAAGCCGTGGACGGCGCTTCGGTCAATGCGGCTGCTTTTTCGATTGGCACAAAGAAGGTTAGACTGTCCTTGCATCTTTGGGTCGGTTGTCAGTTTGGTCACTCCCCCAGTATGGGTGCCTGGCACATTCCGCTGTTGATGATGAAGCTGCGCACGTGCAGAAGGTTTCTCAGAGACCACGTTAGTGGAGGAAGCCAAGCTGGCAAAAGCAATCGAGCAGTGGCGCGTCATCGTTTTTTGTTTTTCCCCCCTCCCCACGCGCTTTTTTCCGCAGCATCACAGCAGCTACGAGGTGAAACCCAACGAGCGGCGGGCGCAAGCTCAACCGGGCAGGCGGCTCGGCGCAGGCCCACTTTCCCACCTGGCGTCGGCGAGCAGATCGCTCACCGGCGGCTCGGCGGCGTTTTTTGCAGGCGGTGGGCTTCGGTAAAGGATTCCTCGGGGCGGATGTCGACCATATACTTCAATCTGCAAGGATCAAGGGCGCGACTGTTTCGGATGCACCTTTATGTGGAGTTCGCAAGAAGGACCCCTTGACGGTGCAACAATTGTTTGCGTTGGAGCAACTTGCGTTTCACGGTGAAGATCATGAGGCAATTTTTGCGGGGCGCCTTCTAGTGCGCTGCAGGTTGAGATGGAGCGACGGCCAGTTTTGCAACGAGGAGCCTGTTGTAACGCGGACCAGAGAATTTGGCTCCTTTGAAGCAATTTTTTCCACCACAAAAACTCAGGTCGGCAGCAAGGTTTAAGCAAGCGTTTGTTGCTAGCAGCGGCAGCATTTTGGGCAGAGACGTGGTTATTAAACCGGTCACAGCACAATCTCAATGCTGGCCGGGGTAGGCCAACCATGCCTGCCCCGATGCGAAATGGAGGTTGGGCGCTCACGCCGTTAAGGCCGACTGAAGGTCCATGTGGCTGCGCGAGTTGCTGACCAAACAAAAATCTCCCAATGGGCCGTTGCGAGACGTTGCTTCTCACAGCTGCGAGAGTACCTGTTTGTCTTGGATGGCCAAGGCCAACGCGCCCATCGATGTGAGGCGATTTGCCGGGGACGCGCAAGGCCCGGTTCTCCATTTCTTGGGCGGCCTGGATTTGTGCATCGGGCAAGGTTTCCTTTTGCCTGATGAGACCAGCAGATCTGGAAGATGGATTGGTTGCGTATCATTTGAAGATGCGATGAGCCAGATGGCTGTTGCTCATGTGGTTCCGGAGACCAAACAGTTGTTCCCGAGGAAGAATAATGTTTGTTTTTTCTGCACGCCTTTCTCCGTCCAAGACTACTATTCACCTGACATGGAAGTGGGCACAAGTGTTTCATGTGCAGAATTTTTGCCCGCTGAAAACGAAGGTTTACGACAATTTATTGATGAGGGAGTGCTGCCAGAATTGCAGCATTCGGGCCGAGCGCGCGTGACGCGGCCGATGCCGCGCGCGGGCGCGTGGTGTCCCCGCCGTGTGCCGGCAGTGCCCGCGCGACCGAATTCGTTTTAGTCTCGGCGAACCCTTTGCAGAGATCGCGCGTGTTCCCTCGCGGTGGCGCCGTGCGTCTTTATTACTCGCGAAACAGCCTTTGGAAGTTGTCTCGTGGTGTGCGGCAGTCGAGCGATCGCGGGCCTCCACAGCTCAGCTCAGGCTGAGCATCTTGCGCGCAGATACAAGCGCCGAGTGTCGCTCGGAGAGAGAAGCTTGCGCGGAACAACGTGCAGAACAGCTTAAAGACGGACGTCGAGCCACTTGCACGCAGCAGCCTGGAACAACGCAGCTTGCGCAGACACTGCATCGATGTAAAAAGCCTTGAATTTCATTGTATTTATCCGCATACGCGCCGCCCTAGGTGCA